CGCTGGCTGCAGCAGCCATTGGAGGGTGAACCAACGGCAAAGGAAGACCTTTCTCTCTGTCCACTCTGCCTGTCAAAAAATAAAAATAAAAATAAAAGATTTTTTTTTAAGATTTATTTATTTGCTTGAAAGAGTTACACAGTGAGAGAAAGAGGTGGAGGGAGAGAGAGTGAGTTTTTCCATCCACTGGATCAATTCCCAGTTGGCCACAGTAGCCGGAGTGACGCCAATTAGAAGGCAGGAGCCAGGAGCTTCTTCCAGGCCTCCCACATGGGTGCACGGGCTCAAGGACTTGGGCCATCTTCCATTGTTTTCCCAGGCCACAGCAGAGAGCTGGATTAGAAGTAGAGCAGCCAGGACTCAAACTGGTGCCCCTAGGGGATGCCGGCACTGCAGACCGGGGCTTTAACCTGGTGTGCCACAGCGCCGGCCCCAATAATAAGACTTTTAAAATATTAGTGCTTTGGGGTAGGAGGTTAAAATATTTATAAAAGCTTTATGCTTTAAGTAAAATGTACATGAGAAAATTGAAAAAGTTTCAGATTCTATAACAATAGAAATAATTTATAAATTTCAAACCAGTTGGAAAAACTGGAATAAGAAAAAGAAAAGAGCCATCACCCAACAAAAATCTAAAAAGCAAAGTCAGTCTCACAAAAAGGAGGAAAAGAAAGTTAGCAAAGGCAAGATGAACAGAAGTTGAAAAGTGTACGTAATTATAAATGTGAATAGACTAAACTTTTCCTGCTAAAGAACAGGAAATGTGAGGTTGAATGGAAATGAGACAAAACAGCTGTGTTGTCCTTCCGAGAATCCCGCCCACAACAGAAGATGCAGAAGGGTTTAAGAATAGAGAATGAACAAAGATGTGTGGGCAGTTACCTCGATTACTTCTCTTGGTTATTGAGAGTTAAGACTGAAAAGATCCATGTAGGGACTACTTGAGCAACGTAATGAACAGCTTACCTAAGCACACGCGTGCTCACAAAGTGAACCCTGCGGCTAGCCTCAGTGGTGCCAGAGACAGCGTTGTCGTGCACCTGCTCTCTGAGCACCGGTGAAGTCTGTCACAAGAAAGAGCAGTTGAGAATGTCCTCCATCTGCCAGAATGGCTGCATTAATGACCGCGGCAAACTTCCGTCATCCACATCTTACAGGCGAGAACGTGTGACTCAGCAGCCACCCTCTTGGGCATTTATCTCAGAGAAGGGAAAACTTCCCATAAAAACCTATACACCAGAGTTCATAGCAGCCACCCTAGATGTGTGTGTGTGTGTGTGTGTGTGTGTGTGTGTGTGTGTGTTTTAAGATTTATTTTATTTATTTGAAAGAGTTACACAGAGAGGAGAGGCAGAGAGAGAGAAGTCTTCTATCCGATGGTTCACTCCCCAGTTGGCTGCAATGGTGGAGCTGTGCTGATCTGAAGCCAAGAGCCAGGAGCCTCCTCCAGGTCTCCCTTGTGGGCACAGGGGCCCAAGGACTTGGGCCATCCTCCACTGCTTTCCCAGGCCGCAGCAGAGAGCTGGATGGGAAGTGGAGTAGCCAGGTCTCTAACCAGTGCCCATATGAGATGCCAGCGCTTCAGGCCAGGGTGTTAACCCACTGTGCCACAGTGCTGGCCCCTACCCTAGATGTTTGTCTTTTTCTTAAAAAAAAAAAAAAAAAAAAAAAAAAGGATTTATTTGACAGAATGATGGAAAGAGAGAGAATCTTCCATCTGCTGGTTCACTGCCCAGATAACTTCAATAGCCAGGGTTGGGCCAGGCTGAAGCCGGGAACCTGGAACTCCATCTGGGTCTCCCACATGGGGGCAGGGGCCCAAGGATTTGGGCATCTTTCTCTGCTTTCCAGGGAGCATTAACATAGAGGCGGATTGGAAACAGAACATCTGGGACTCAAGCCGACACTTGGAACTGGCACTTTGATATGGGATGCCAGCATCTCAAGTTGTGGTTTAACCCACTGCAGCCCAGCGCCCGCCTCCACCCAGATGTTTTCATCATGCAGTGTCTGACAACAGAATAGGCGGTGCTGAGGAGAAATAGCCAGTCCTAGAGGGTTCACACTCTAAGACTATTAGGGCTGTCAAAAAGCTGTGGGAAATGGAATTAAAAGATAAGCTTAGGGGGCCAGCACCATGCGCAGTAGGTTAATCCTCCGCCTGTGGTGCCGGAATCCCATATGAGCGCTGGTTCGTGTTCCGGCTGCTCTTCTTCCCATCCAGCTCTCTGCTGCGGCCTGGGAGAGCAACAGAGGATGGCCCAAGTGCTTTGGCCCCTTCACCCACATGGAAGACCCGGAAGAAGCTCCTAGCTCCTGGCTTTGGATCGGCACAGCTCCGGCCGTTGGGGCCATCTAGGGAGTGAGCCAGTGGAAGGAAAACCTTTCTGTCTCTCCCTCTCACTATATGTAACTCACCTCTCAAATAAATAAATAAATAAATAAATAAAATCTTTAAAAAATAAGAAATGAATTTTAAAAAAGACAAGCTTAGGAGTAAGTATTTGGCCTTAGTGGTTCAAGCTGCTGGTTGGGACACCTGTATCCACTCTATAGAAGTGCCTAGGTTTAGGTGCCGGCTCTGCTCCCACACCCTGGCAGGCAGCAGGTGACGCTCAAGTTCTGGGAGACCTGGGTGGGATGCTTGCTCCCAGCTGTGGCCTGGCTCAGTCCTATGTGGCCGTTTGGGAAGTGAACCAGCAGATGGAACATCTCTCTGTTTCTCTCTGTCTCCCAAATAAGTAAAATTTTTTTAAGAAAAATATTTTGGTACAAAAAATGCTGAAATCCATTTTTATAGTTTTTTATAACAATTTTCCATTTCTTGAAAATCTCTTGGTTCCACTTATTTATAACTTTTTTTTTTTTTTTTTTTGGACAGGCAGAGTGGACAGTGAGAGAAAGAGACAGAGAGAAAGGTCTTCCTTTGCCATTGGTTCACCCTCCAATGGCCGCCGCGGCTGGCGCACCGCGCTGATCTGAAGGCAGGAGCCAGGTGCTTCTCCTGGTCTCCCATGGGGTGCAGGGCCCAAGCACTTGGGCCATCCTCCACTGCACTCCCTGGCCACAGCAGAGAGCTGGCCTGGAAGAGGGGCGACCGGGACAGAATCCGGAGCCCCGACCGGGACTAGAACCTGGTGTGCCGGCGCCGCGAGGCGGAGGATTAGCCTAGTGAGCCGCAGCACCGGCTTATTTATAACACTTTTGAAATGGTACATCAATTTTGATATGACAGGATGTTAGAAATGGAGGACAGGGGTTGCTGTTCCGGAGGAAGGGAGGATCCTGTTGCAGGGACTGGGATGGAGACCAAACGTCCCAGGTGATTGATTGTGTAGAACTCAGACCACAAGAGCCAGCGTTGTGGTGTAGCCGATTAAGCCACTGCCTGGGATACCAGTATGCCATGTGGTTGCCCATAAGAGTCCTGGCTGCTCCACTCCCGATCCAACTCCCTGCTTTGGCCTGGGTAAGCAGCACAAGGTGGCCCAAGTGCTTGGGCCCCTGCCAGCCACGACCTAAATGGAGTTCCAGGCTCCTGGCTTTGGTGTAGCCCAGTCCTGGCTGTTACGGCCATTTGAGGAGTGAACCTGTGGATAGACGATCTATGTCTCCCTCGTCTCTGTAACTTTGCCTTTCAAATAACTCCTTTTTTTAAAGAACTCGGAACACAGCACAGGTCGTGGTTGTGATGTGTTGTGGTTCTGCAAACTTACCTTTGGGGGAGACGTGGCCCACGGAGGAGCTGTGGCTTTTGTGTTGTTGGTTGGTTTGTATTGTACTTACATGAGAGACAGACAGCTCCTACCTACTGGTGCAGTCCTCAGGTGTCTACAGCAGCTGAGGGTTGGAACGGGGAGCTGGGAGCTCTTCCCAGGTCTCCTGCCTGGGTGGCAGATAAAGTAAGTTGAGTCCTCACTGCTGACTCCCAGAATCTGCATGTGCAGGAAAACAGAGCTGGGAATCAAACCCAGGCACTCCAGTGTGAGACATAGGCATCTTAACTGCTAGGCCAAATGCCTGGCCCACTTAAAAAAATTAAATAAAAAAAAAAAAAAACCTGCTTTATTAAGAGATAATTCTCGTTATCATGCAGTTCAGGTGTGTGATGTGTATTATGCGGTGATTTTTAGTATATTCACAGAGTCATGGGCTATCAGTACAATCGGTTCTACAATATTTTCACCACCATAAAAAACCTGAATTCCTGTTTTTTTTTAATTTTGGGGTATTTTCATTTTATTTGAAAGGTAAAGAGAGAGACAGAAACAGATTATCTTCCATCTGCTGGAGCACTCCCTAAATGCATGTAACAGCAAGGTTGGGCCAGGCTGAAACCAAGAACCCAGAGCTCAGTCTGGATCTTCCATGTGGACCCAGTTACTTGGGCCACTTTGTGTCTTCCAGGGTGTAACATTGGCAAGAGGCTCAAACCGGAAGCAGGGCCGAGACTCAGATGCAGGCACTGACTCCCTAGCGCCTGTTCTCACCAGTGTTATTCATGGTAGTCAAAGAGTGGAGCTGACCCCAGTTTCTGTCAGCTGATGAATAAGTAAAGCAGTATTGGGGGATTCCTATGTTGCACCATTACTTGGCAATAAAAGTAATGCAGATAGGGCTGACACATGGGTGTCAGGACATGGGTGCACTTTGGAAAGATTGCGCTAGGTCGAAGAAGCCTGTCACAAAAGAGCTACCATCTTGGCCATTTCTATGAAGCGTCCAGAATAGGCAAATCCATGCAGATAGCAGGTGGGTGGTCGCCAGAGTTAGGCCTTCTTATCTGTCCAAAAGACCTGTTTTTCCTGTCTCTGGTTATTATAGCATAATTCATGCTAGTGAGTTCCGCGTTAACACAGTGCTACTTCCTCTCCCGTCTGCGTCCCTGGTAAGCGGAGCCCTGAGGTTCCAGCTGTTGCCCCACCTCAACGCAGTGGGGGGGGGGGGGGCTCTGCTTGTTGCCGCTGCCCTTGCGGGGCCTGAGCCTGGTCTCCCCGCAGCCCAGCTGCAGCTCCAGCAGGCGGCGCTGCAGCAGCAGCAGCAGCAGCAACAGCAGCAGTTCCAGGCGCAGCAGGCAGCGCTGCAGCAGCAGCAGCAGCAGCAGCAGTTCCAGGCGCAGCAGAACGCCATGCAGCAGCAGTTCCAGGCCGCGGTGCAGCAGCAGCAGCAGCAGCAGCAGCACCTGATCAAGTTACATCATCAGAACCAGCAGCAGGTACCTGGGGCCCCTCCCCCGTCCTGGGCCCAGGCAGGAGAACAAGGCCCCGTGACGGCACCCAGTCAGGTCCGGGTACCTGGCTGTGGACGCGCCGTGTGCTGAAGGGCTCTGAGCAGTTCATGCGAGAGTTCCCACAAGCAGGCAGTGAGCCCCTGGGGGTACGTGGACCCTGCTGCTCCGTCTCCGTCTCCGCAGCTCGTGGAGGGTCCCTTCCCAGAGGTTGCTGAGTCTTCAGCCCCACTCGTCCTCTCTTCCTGAAGGAGGACATCGCTGACACGGACCATCCCTTTGAGGCACAGACTGGTGACCCCTGGTAATCCCAGCCTCGCTGGGGAGGCTTCAGATGTCCAGTTGCCCGAGCTGGCGGCTTCCCTGGGCTGCGTCGTACTGTGCCTTCTACGTACTTCCCCTGAACCATCCCGGGGATGTGTCCTCGAGGGCGCAGAGCCCTTCTGTGGCAGGTGCTCTCCTCCCCACGTGAAAGGTCAGCCAGGCAGGCCTCCTTGGAGGCTGTGGTGGTGTCCCACTGGGCTTCTGGGGCAGAGCTGGCACCCCAGAGGCCGGCAGAAGGTAACCGAGTGCTCCTTGTGTCTCCAGATACAGCAGCAGCAGCAGCAGTTGCAGCGGATGGCACAGCTGCAGCTGCAGCAGCAGCAGCAGCAGCAGCAACAGCAGGCTTTGCAGGCCCAGCCGCCCATGCAGCAGCCGCCCATGCAGCAGCCTCAGCCTCCCCCCTCCCAGACCCTACCCCAGCAGCTGCAGCAAATGCATCACCCACAGCACCACCAGCCACCGCCACAGGCCCAGCAGCCGCCAGTTGCTCAGAACCAACCGTCACAGCTCCCACCACAGTCCCAGCCCCAGCCTTTGGTGTCCCAGGCTCAAGCCCTCCCTGGACAGATGCTGTACGCCCAGCAGCAGCTGAAATTTGTGAGTATCCCGCCCCGTGGGGAGGCACACGCAGCTTCTCTTGTGTCCTGTGCAGCAACTGGGTCTGTCGGCAGCAGTGTCCGAGGTGCTTCAGCTGTAGTTACCACGTCCATTCCTTTGAGCAGAAGGCCTCAGCAGCCCCCGACGCTACCCCACATCCAGGCCTGCGGCACGGCTCCGTGAGGGACCATGCATTGCAGGAGCTGCTCTTGCACTCTGCGTGGGCTGGTCCAGGCAGTGTCTGAGAGCTCCCGAACCGGGTGATTGCTTGCATGGCAGGGCACCACTGTGCAGGGCCCGTCCACAGTGCCGTGCTGGTGCCCAGAGGCACGTTCTGAGCAACGATCTCGGAGACCTTGGATTGCCATGCTTTGAGGGAGGTAATCGTATATACAATCCTGTTGTCTCCAGTCTCACTGTGTCTCTGTACAAAGTCAGTGGCATTTATACAGAGGACAGAGTGTGGCCACCAGGAGGGAGGCAGCTGGGTCAAGGCACCACGTGGGCATCTTTTTGTGGCCTTTTTATTTGTGATTTGTTGAGTGGAGTAGGGACAGGGACCACACCAGAACCAAGTACAAGTAGAAGACCCCACGGAAGAAGGCTGGGGAGGTTTGTGAGTGGTTAAGTACAGTCACTTCCCTGTCCTGGGAGCCAGCCCCCGGGCCCTGGGTCCTTATGTGCTTCTTGGTGGGATGTGTTCTGTTGAGATTAGATCTAATGGCTTAGAGGCGGCACCTGTGTGGGCTTGGCCCGAGCCTACCTTGTCCCTCGAGGTTTCTCCACACAGTGGTCCCACAGTGGCCTGCTTTCCTGCCCGGCTCACCCCTCTAGCTGTGCCTGCTGCTGGCTGGCCAGCTGGCCCTGGTTACTGTCAGTGAGTCGAAGCTCTGAGCAGGGCTCTCTGTGAGCGTGACCCAGAGGACAAGTGGCCTGGGCTGTGTGCTTGGCTTTGGAAGCTGTCTCTTGTGGGTGCTGGTGGTGACATGTATGTGGGGGGTCTCATGGGGGAGGGCCATGTTGCTTCTTGCCAGCTTTGGATGAGGTGCGGCTGTACCCTGCTCACCCAGAGCAGGGTAGGTTTGGGACGTTTCTGGTGGACTTAGGAATCATGCAGCCAGTGAGGTGACATGGCCTGCAAAGTCAAGCAGATTCATCCTTGTCTCAAGAAAAGCTCCATTTTAGAAGTCATGTGTGCTCTGTTCACTGCCCCAGGTAGCTCCAAATTGCATTCTCTCTTCCTCTCTTAAGGTCCGAGCCCCGATGGTGGTGCAGCAGCCGCAGGTGCAGCCCCAGGTGCCACAGGTTCAGCCCCAGGTGCCGCAGCAGACAGCGGTGCAGACAGCTCAGGCTGCCCAGATGGTGGCTCCTGGAGTCCAGGTGAGGGCCTTGGGAGCCAAGGGCATCTGTAGTAGCTAGTGGGTGCTTGTCGCCCGCACAGGGAGCTCTGCAGCAAGGGCCCTGGTAGCATTGGGCTGAGTTGGTCAAGCGTGGGCTTCCTCTTCATTTACTCTGACCCTCAGGATCCTCGGGGTAACCTGCTTCATCAAGTCTGGGACCCCCCAAGCTGTGCAGGGCAAGTCGTCCCCCTGTCCTCTGGTGTCCTTCGGCTTGCCTGTTCTCTGATACTCTGAGGTTGTGCCTCAGTTTCCTCCTCACCTCAGCTTCGGTGTGGGTATCTAACTTCAGAGCTGGCTGGGGCAGGGGTCTCTAGAAACTAAGAAGAGGCTGGGAGTGGCTGCCCACGTGCTCGGCAGCAGGAGTAGGAGTGTCCTGGTGCTTGTCCTGCGCTTTGGGACTTTGGTGTGGCACAGGGAGAAGTATGCGTCCCTCCCTCATCACCACGTCAGCTCATGCCCTTTCTCTGCCTGCTGGATGGCTTTGGGGCACAGGAGGTCTGGCTGGCCCTTTCTAGTGGCTAAGGGTAGGGTTCCGGGGTCCCCAGGACGCCTCTGACAGTCCCGCCTCACCCTGGTGCAGGGTGGTGGCCGTCAGGGAAACACTCCTGATCCTGACTCAGAAGGGTTAGCTTTAGAAGGAGCCAGATGTGCTAGTTTGTGTGGTCCGCCTGTTGCTGCATCCCAGGCCACATCTGGCACTTCCGCTGTGCTTTGCTGCTGTCACAAGGGCATCAGCTGTGCTCCTGCACCTGCTGGCTCACCTGCAAGCAACATGTCCGGGTGAATGGTGCTGTGTGTCAGGCCCTTCCGGACACGGTGTGCTCTGTTAGTGTGCGGCATCATTGCACAGTGGGCAAAGGGCTCAGTAAGAGTCCCCCTCAGTCCCTACCACACGTATCAGTCCTCTGCTGGCTGAGGGGCAGCATGGTGACCGAGGCCAACTGAGGGGTTCGGTGCAGCTGAGCTGACCTAGCAGCCTCCCTGGACAAGCTGGGCCCAGGGTTCCCATGTCATCTGCTTCCTCAGAGGTGGCCTTGTGCAAAACACCCCCACGGACTCCACGTTTGTGGCTGCCAGGGCTGACCGCCCGTGGGACAAGGTTAGTCTATCTGCCACCCCCAGTGTCTGGGACCTCCCTCCTCTTGGTCTCCATGCAGAGAAAGCACATGGCCTGTGTGCAGATCCGGCTTGGTGGCGGCATGCAGTGACCCTCTGCCCTTGCTCTTCACGACCCTCCCTCCCACATCCAGGGCAGCAGATCAAGGAGATTTGTGCTCCTGAGGTCAGGTGCAGCGGGGAAGAGAACTAGAACTCCCCTCTGATCCCGCTCCTCAAAGTTGGAGAGCGAACAGCCATGGGCCAGCCCGCATATTCAGCTGCCATGGGCCCCCTGTTCTGCTGATGTCCTGGGCTTCCAGCTCTAGGTGGTGTGCGCCCTGTAGTTCCACTGGCTCCTTATCCCTGCTGCCCACTCAGTCCCCACTGTTGAACCCTGCTCAGGTGCTGCTCTGCCTGCAAGGTGATCACCACTGGCTCCTGGTGGAAGCCCCATTCCAGCCGGCGTGGGGGCCTGGTGCTGGGTACCCATCACCGTTGCTGGTTTACCTTCCTGCCACCCTGGAGCTAAGGCATGGAGAGCTGGTGGCCAGTGATGCTAAGGCAGGACCTTTGGGTGAGGACCATGGAATGATGAGGAGTGACTGGCCACCACTTTGTTTCCCGATGGATTTGCTGTTTGGCAGGGAGGGGGCGCCTCCAGTTTTTCAAGGACCACTGTCACCTGCCTGCAGTGCCATGGGACGTGTGTGGCCAGGTGGTGGGACTGCTCAGGGCAGGCAGCAGAGTTCGCCTCCTACGTTCTCAAAGGCCAGAGAAGGATGCACCTCCATGGTGTGCCTTTCAGTGTGGTGGTGACCCTCGGGCTCCTGGCCTCTCACTCTGCCGCTTTTCTCTGCATCGTGGTCTTGCTATGCTGCTGGTTCCCAGGAGGCTGGGCAGCCCCACTGCATTGTCCTAGAGACAGTGGTTTCTGGGTGTGGCTAGGTGGCTTAAGGGCAAGAAGCTCCTTAAAGGGATAGCTTTGGATTTCAGGCCTGCCTTTGAAACCCAGTTGGCTTGGTGGACGAGGCGAGGTTTTAGTACTGTGCTGTAGAAACCCTGAGAGACGTATGGTGGCTGTGGAAAATAAAAGTGCACAGATAGGGCAGGCGTTGTGGTGTGGCCCTTAAGCCACCACTTGGGACGCCTGCATCCCATATCACAGTGCTGGTTCAAGTCCCGGCTACTCTGCTTCCAATCCTGCTTCCTGGTAATGCATCTAGGAGCCAGTGGATGAGGGCCGAAGTGTGTGGGCCCCTGCTACCCACATGGAGACTTGGATGGAGTTCCCTGCTCCTGACTTTAGTCTGGCGCACCCCTGGCTATTGAGGTCATTTGGAGAATGAACCAACAGATGGAAGATTCTCCCCCCTTCCCTCTCCCTCTCCCTCCCTCCCTCCCTCCCTCCCCCTACCTTTTGTGTAGATGGAAATAAATAAAAAACATAAAAAGTGTGAAGATGGGGAATTTGGCATTGTGATGCAGTGAGCTAAGCTGTCGCTGGTGATGCCTACATCCCATATGTGAGTGCTGGTCTGATCCGACTCCCTGCTGATGTGTTTGGGAGAGCAGCAGAGGATGGCCCTTGGTCCCTCGCCACCCTTGTGGGAGACCTGGATGAAGCTCAGGACTTCTGGCTTTGGCCTGGACCAGTCCAGGTCATTGTGGCCATTTTGGAGGAGTGAACTAGCAAATGGAAGCTCTCAGATTAATTCTTATTCTCTCCCTCTCTCCCCTCTGCCCCACCTCCACCTCCATGAGTAAATGAACCTTTAAAAACAAACAAAGAAGAAATGCAAGGAAATGTCGGTGAGAGGAGCATCCCAGTGGGGTAGGAAGTTTGCTGGCTTTAGGGTTCCCTCATGTCACCGAGGGCTTACCATCCACAAGGTCTCACATGTGGTGTCTTCCCTGTTACTGGAGCAGTGAGGTGTGTGTCATCAGAAAGCCCTTTTTGCCCAGAAAGGAACATTCCTCTGGGAGTGTCTCCAGCTGTCCTTAGTGACCTTCTTGGTCTTGGATTTTATTTCCAGGTGTTTTTTTTTTTTTTTTTTTTTTTTTTTTTGCTGTCACCAGTTACGTATCTGCTGTGTGGCTGAGTTCTTGGTTATTTCCCAAAGCTGCTCAGAAGTGAGTCCCAGGGCCGCCTTGAAAGTCGGCAGTCCTGTGAGCAGGACACCAGGGGCACAGAGTGGGGCTCCTCACTTGACCTCAGAGCCCAGGGACCGCGGGAGCACCGCCCGCTGTGGAGTGGGCCAGCCATTCTGTGAGAACTATGCTAGGGCTGGGGGTGCTGCAGCAGGCAGCCCTCCTAGAACAGAACAGAGGCACTGGCAGGGGTGGGATTGTTTCAGGATGTGGGCTGGCCCTGGGCTGTGGACGCGTCCCCACCGTGGGATTTTGGACCAACAGACTTCTCTTTGTCCCCTTACAACCTGGTTAGAGTATGTCTCCCATTTCGACATTCCCTGTGCTTTTGTCTTCGAACCTACTGTTCTTACAGTATACAGATGCTTCACCCTAATTTACAGGTCACTGAGTTGTCCTCAGAGACAGACGGCAACCGTGGATGTGTGTGTGGCAGAGCTGACGTGTGATTGTTGTCAGTGGCCGGCCCGCAGGACCCCTGTGTGTGCGCCGGCCGTGGCTCCTCTGCAGCAGTTGGCTGGGAAGTGCTAGAATGCTGTCCCTTGCCGGCTCCTGGCGGGCGTGCCTGGCGCTCGTCTGCCTGTGTGCGTAGTACTGGTGCGCTGTCCTCCGAGTTTGCGGTTAAGAGAGAATGAGCTTTGCTTCCAGGAGTTGTGTTTGAAGAAGTCAGTGGGCAATCAGGCTTCAGCTTTTCCTTCCTCGTTACTGCCTTCTGGGAAGAAATGTGCTACCCTCACAGCCCGCCTCCCAGCCGGAAGGCACACCATCGAGTGTCCTGAGTGCAGCAGAGGCCCACGGACAGCTCCCCTCACCGCCCGCCACGCCCCCTCTGCTTTCTGCCCACTCCCAGTGTGGACTGGTTCCCCAGAGAAGCTTCCGCCCTGAAGCATGCCGTGGCGGGCGCTGGGCTCTTCAGGACCGTGTGTGACACAGCCAGTGCCGCCAGAACCGCTTGCTTGCCACGTCCCCAGGAAGGTCCCTCTTGGCCTGGCTGCTGTGTGTTCTGATTGGCCTCTGCTACTGCTACGACAGCCCCAGCTAGCAGGGCGCTCTGGCTTTGGAGCCTTGTCCCTGGCTGCCGTCACTGCATGGACATGGTGCAGCAGCACTGCCTTGATCTGGGGCCAGGCGTACGCCTCCTGGACTCGGGATTTTGTTTTTCCTTGGACCAGTCCCTTTGTTCCCAGCACTGTCATTCTGTCGTGGTCTGTGGCAGTGCTAAATGGACACAGGCCCTGCTCTCCAGGGACCTGGCTTGGAATCCATCCCCCACTTCAGCCCAGAGCAAGGGTGGCCAGGCCCACAGCACAGCAGTGGTCCTGGCCCATGCCAAAGTGCTGCTTGCCCCTGCAGGCCTCCTGCGGGCAGAGGCCCAGGCTTCTTCCCCTCTGCGTTTAGTGTAAAAGGAAACCCTGGTAGGTACCCGGACAGCAGCCCCAGAGAGGCCAGGAGGATGGGGGTGGTTTGCAGTCTGCCTCTGTAAGGAAAATTCCGGAATGGGCCTGTGGCCCTCACCTTCTGTTTCAGTGATGGTCAGCCTTTCTCGTGGCAAGCTTTGTTGATGAGTCGTCTTCGGAGGTTTGTCCCCTAGAAGTGCCATCGCCTGCCCTTGAAGTCTGATTCTGTGGGCTCTGGGATTCTGATGGGCCCACAGCTCAAGGCGGAATTCAGGACAGCGCACCCAGGAGTGGCCAGTTAGGATAGAAGGGTCTGGAAGCAGCACCGACGGTGACTCTCCTAGACCCCTGATGCCGTGGGCCTGCGCACGTTGGCCAGAACTGTCCTGATGCTGGGGGCCTCGCCCTGGCGCACACACCCTCTCCACCTGCCCGCACGCTGCGTCTCTTGTCACAATCACCTTGTCTGTTGTCCCTCTGTCCTCAAAGATGATCACCGAAGCCTTGGCCCAAGGCGGGATGCATGTAAGAGCCCGGTTCCCACTCACCTCCGCAGTGTCTGCCGTCCCGGCGAGCTCCATTCCTTTGGGCAGACAGCCCACAGCACAGGTATTTATGGGACTGCGGACAGGGCTCGGCTGGGAGCTTGGGGTCCCCTGAGAGCCTTTGTAAAGCGCACCTGTCATCTCCGGTGACTGCTTCACGGTGGCTTTCAGAGTGCCCGACCAAGTCGTCCCTCTGGGATGAGGCCAGGCCCAGCGTGTGCCCCCTGAGGGGATGTGAGTAAATGGGGTGCGATCAGGTGAACACTGTCATGCCGCTGTCCTGTTCCTGGTAAAATAGGACAAAAGCCAAACAAACAGCGGGCTTCCTAGAGCCGGGTTGTCTGGTACCGTGTGGCTGTCTCCATTTAAATTGCTGAAAACGGAGAAAACTGCCCAGTCCCTTGGTTGCACCTGTTACAGATGTGGTGCTGGGCTGCTGCATAGGGAAGCTCATGGTGTCCGTGCTGGACAGCACAGGCCGCAGCCATGGCCTCAGGTTGTGCTGTTTGCACTGGGCTAGGGTTTGCTGTGTGGGGTGTGGAGCGTACTGCACGCACGTGCACACACGACTTCCCAGGCAGGCGTCGACTTCTGTGTGCGTTACATTCTGCAGGGCTACCGTTATCCTGTGAGGTTTGGCAGCATTCCGGAAGTCTTGCTTTAACAAATAGTGATCACATGGAGGCCGTGTGCTGGGCACTGTTCTGAGACTGAGGGCAACCGGTGCTCAAGTTCTCACCCCAGGCTGTGCACGTTTCTGGGTCTGCTGTGGAAACCTCAGACATGCCAGAAGACTCATGGTTCAGTTTCTGTTGGAGGGGAGGCGCATCTGCAGTCCTGGCAGGCGTGGGCCCTGTGCCTCCCCGAGGGCACCGGGGTGGAGCCACCACTCCACCTGCGAGCTGGCACCTCCAGGAACACAGTCAGTTGTTGCCCTCCCTGAACTCTGACCCCCAGGCACGCCCCAGATGTGTATTTGCACAGCTTGCCACTGACCAGAACCTGGTGACATTGGCGTTGACCTCCCTTGTGGCAGGTGGTAGGATATGGGAGAGGGAAGTGGCTGGACTCTGCTGGTGGAAGGAGCCCCTCCTGAGCAGCAGTGGGTGCAGGGCAGGTGGGCGTGGCGGCAGGGCAGACAGAGCTCAGGAGGGCCCCTGTGTTGCTAGGGAGGGTCTCCTCGCCCAGGTTCCTTCGAGTTCTCGGCTCGGCCCTGGAGCTGCTGCTCTCCTTTTCCACAGCCTTTGGCTGCCCGGTGGGTTCCCTGGGCCAGGTGAGGTGGTTAGGTGTGGAGAAGTGGCTTCTGTAAAAACAGAAAAGTGCCCAACACTGAGTGTGTGATGCCTTCTCTGTGTGGAGCTTCACTGGTTCTCTGTGTAGCGTTTAGCCCCTCTCACAGATGGAGAGGGCCTCAGGGGCCACTGGGTTGAGGACCAGGGACTTGGATAAAATACACCAAACAGGTCTTTCTGCCCACAGGGTTAGGTGGAGGGGAGGAAAAGTGGAGGAAAAGACAGAGGAAGCCAAGATGAAGGCAGTAGCTGAAACCAGTGCTCCAGGAGGCCGTTGATCCTGGTTGCATTTTGTGGGGTCAGTGCCAGAGCCTTGTCTGGAAGATGCCAGCATGGACTCACCTGTCTGTGAGCGCTGCAGGGGTGGGATCGTGCCCTCGGCCCTTGGGGTGGTACTATTTTGAGGGCAAATACAGCAGCCTTTAGCAAATACCCCTTGTCCTGGCCAAAAAAAAAAAAAATTAGACCCAAGGATTTCTGGGAAGGAAGGATGGATGGAACTCTGCAAGGTTCTGGTTTTTTTTGGTTTTGTTTTTAAAGCAGGATCATTTTTGCTTGCCATCTGAGAGGAAGACGACCCTGAAACTGTTTAGACAAGAGGGGGAAGCTGCCTGAGGAGAGCCTTGGACGGGGCTGTGCCCACTGCCGGAGCAAGGCGTTGCAGCCTTGGCTGACCCTGGCCTCCCGTCAGAGCCAGGTCCTGAAGCACTGGGCAGAGCCCACCTCCCTCCTGCAGCCTCTCGCACACCTGGTGGGCTGACCTTGGAGCAGAGGAGCTCAGACTCGTGTCCAGGGGCCCCCGCGTGCTCTGGACATTGCACTGGCCACACAGGTTGCTTCCAGAACCGGTGCAGCTGCTCCTGTGTCCATATCTGTGTGGTCCAGTCCCTTTTTAGAAATGAAAGCACTTCCAAAAATGAGGGCACTTCCAAAAGTTCATGGGGTGTTCTAGGAAGCTCATGAGAAATGCATATGACAAGAGAGCATGGGTTTCAGATTTTTTTGCACCAAAGTAAACATCTTTAATTTCATTTTCCATGAACTTTTTGAAGCACCCTCATCGTTTTCAAGTCTTTCCAGGAGCTGCCCCACTGCTTGTCTGGCAGTGAACATGCCTGGTGCCTGTGTCCCACAGGCGCTCTGCGGCCAGTGCCTGCTCACCTCTCAGCTGTGCCCACGTGTGCGTCCTGTGGCTGCTGTGCTGTGCCAGTTACCCCACAGCCCGCGCGCGCTAGGATGCTTTTCAGCATCTACACTGCCTGTCTGGTTTGCCCTGCGACCACTAACTGGGTCCAAAGAGACAGGTGGATCAGGCTGTGGAAGGGGAAGCAGCTCAGTCTCTGTCCTGTGTCTCACGTTTGTGGGTGCCTCTTGGTCTCAGACAACCGCAGCCAAGCAGGGTTCTGTGCCGGGCAGTGCGCAGCGCAGAGGTCCAAGGGGGAGGCGTGGGCTCCCTGTCGCAGTGCTCCCCTGACAGGTGAGAGCAGGCGACGCCACAAGGTGACCCACGTTCCCCTGCTCTGCAGAGTAACTGCGGGGACTGTGTTGAGGGCGGCCGTGCCGGCAGGCCAGAGCACATGGTGCCGCCACCCCTTCCTGAGCTTTGCCTGTAGGGTGGAACTCCAGGACTAGCCTTTTTCTGCTGCCCCATGGGGTGGCTCTGCCTGCCCTCTCTGCCCTCCTGCCTCTTCCTCTCCCCTCCTCCTTGTGTCCCCCCAGCCCCGTGTGGCCCCCTCATCCTCTCGGAGAACTGGGGAAGACATCCTGCACAGGCCATCAGGGCTGTCGGGTGAGGTCCCTGTCCCAGGGAAGCAGGTCGTGCCGTCGCTGCTGAGGTGTGGACGTTGAATGTGCCTGGGCTCCCCACCACGCACCAGTCCCCTCCCTCCGAGCTCCTGGGTGTGCACCTGTGACACGTGGGTGGCGGGTGGAGTACACGGCGTGCCGTGGCACGTGCTCAGAAGCACCTGCCTGGGAGGTGCGCCGTCCTCACACTGCGCCTGTTCTAGCATCTGTGACAGACCACCGGCAGAGGTGACGTGAGACAGCACAGAGCTACACCCCTGCATCCTCCGTCCCCTTCAGGGCACTCGCTCCCTAACTGGAGCCCCCAGGCCAGGTGGGGGAGCTCTCCCCCTGCCCAGCTGGGCTATCTGAGGTGCTTTGGGACTTGACACTGCCCAGTGCTGACACCTCAAAGCCTTTGCCGTCCCTGGTTTCCTGCTCTTGAAAATGCCCTTGGTGCCCTTGGTTTGTTTCCTTCCTGCCAAAAGACTCCCCCTGCCTCACCTCGTGTGGGGCAGCTGAGGAGCTGAGAGGGAGCCTGTGGGAGCTCACGGGCGCAGCTGCCAAGCTCAGTGCTGTGGGCTCCGGGCTGCAGCGGCTCACCTGCATGCCCAGCCTGGTGGCCCAGGCCACCCGGCCACTGGGGCAAGTTCAGGAGGAAGCTTCTAGGCCAGGCTAGTGGGAGAGAAGCGTGATGCCTGGGGCCAGGCTCCTGTGAGCATCCAGGATGGCGGGGGCAGGTTGCCCAGGAGCCACCAGGGAAGTCACAGAGAAAGGAGCTGTGTGCGGCGGGACAGACGGGGACGTGAGGGCTGGGGCCAGGAGAGACCCACCGTAGGAGAACCAGGCCCACGCCCTGGCCTGTGCCCTGGCTCCTTGGCTCTGTGGTTCTGCGTGGAGCTTCTTGGTCTTGGGATTTCCTAGAGCGCGCTTTCCACCCCCGCCCCGCCCCTGGGACTCACAGTGCACCCTGGTGGCACTTGGTAGCTCCACCCCTGTGTCCGATCTCGCTGACTCAGTGTGGATCACCCTGGACCATTTCACTGCTCTTACTGGAGTGAGGAGGCGCAGCCACCCAGGCCTGGGGTCTCGTACCCCTGCCCCCCAGCAGGCACGTCTTGGTCACCAAGTAGCAGGAGCAGTCCCTTTTATCGTCAGTGGTGCACTGAATCACAGCTTTGGTTTGGGGCCCCTGACCAGCTCTGTTGGAAGCACCATGATGTGGGTGGTGCACCTGCCGTCCCAGCACCCTGTGCAACACCTCCTGCCAGACTCAGCGGGAATGGCGGAGCGAGGAGGGAAGAGCAGGAGAGAAGCATTTCACTCCCTGAGCCTGGTCTGGGTGGTCCTGAAAGAAAGGGCAGCACAGGCTGCCATGGACAGGGCCCATGTCTACCCCTGCCTGGCCAGTGGGGGTAGGGCAGGTGTCCTGCTTCCCTGGTGGGATCCGGGCCTGTTCCCCGACTCCAGAAGCTGAGAAAGCAGCAGCCCCCAGAGTGGTCCTCACCCTGCATTTCCTGCGCCGTGGGGAGGCGTGTGTGGGAGGAGGCGTGGTGCTGGGGCCCTAGGTGGCCGTCAGCATCAGGTGCCCTGGGAAGTATCCCGAGTCTGTGCAGTGCTGGGCGAGGGTCTCGGACACTCAGCGTGCAGGGGGCTGAATACTGAGGACCCTTGGGTCGCTCTGGATCAAGCAGGAACTTCATGGAGGTCCTGGACCAGATTACACGGCCGTCAGCAGCCCTGGGCAAGGTGGCCTTCTCTCTCCAAGGCTCCTTCGTGGGAGGCATCTGTCACCCCATCTGAAACTCGTCCATGCTGCCCCTGGAAGGGGCGGGCACTTCACACAGCTCTGTCCCGATGCCTGGACTGTGCACTCTCAGCCCTTGGAGTTCCCAGGAGTCTCTGGTGCTGCTGTGGTGTGGTTGTCCCCAGTGTGGCCTGGGGGCACAGAGTAGCCCTGCTCTGCACACAGCGCCAGGGCCTCTGAGGCGTCGAGGTCCGTGCACCTGTGTGACAGCACCAAGCTCTGAGCCCTGGTGTTGCGTTGCTCAGCTCTCCCAGTGGGCTCTGCCAGTCCAGTCAAGACATTGGTGGAGGGCCAGGGGCAGAGAGCCTCCAGCGTGTGTCAGGACGGGGGCTCTGGGCGGCCACGCATGTCCTCAGCTTAGGCCTGGAGGGCTAAGGGCTCCTGGAGTCCTGCGGGAGGACAGTGCCACTGGTCAGCAGAGCGGGGTCCTTGCCGACCCTCGTGCAAGAGCACCGTGGGCAGGAAGGGCAGGCCGGCTGATGCCAGCCAAGCTGTCACCTTCCCAGGCCTCCGTGTCCTCCTGTACCTCAGGAGCCAGGGTGGGGCCTGTGCCTGTGTGTGTGTGCCCAGCGTCTGGAAGGAGACAGGTGTGTCAGGAGGCTGAGAGCGGGGGGGGTGGGGGGGTGGCAGTGAGCCCGCTGAGCCCTCCTCTTCCAGGTCAGCCAGAGCAGCCTCACCATGCTGTCCTCGCCGTCGCCCGGCCAGCAGGTGCAGACTCCGCAGTCCATGCCCCCTCCCCCCCAGCCGTCCCCGCAGCCTGGCCAGCCCAGCTCGCAGCCCAGCTCCAACGTCAGGTAGGCTGGGCAGGGTGGGAGACGGGTCACCTCCCTGCCTGGTGCCCGGGGCGACTCCAGCCTGCGCTCCTGCCCTTGCAGCTCTGGCCCAGCACCGTCCCCCAGCAGCTTCCTGCCCAGCCCCTCCCCGCAGCCCTCCCAGAGCCCCGTGACAGCACGGACCCCGCAGAACTTCAGCGTCCCCTCGCCTGGACCTTTGAACACCCCTGGTAAGTCAGGCCTGGGGCTGGGGCGGGTGGAGCTGAGGCCTGGGGCACCGTCGTGGGCCCTGGGTGCAGCCCTGAACCTCGAGGGCTGGAACCTCCCTTGACCTTGGCAAGGCCTCCACGGCAACCCTCCGAGCCTGAGCGCCCTGTGGACGGGGGCCGAGACCTCGCGTTCTGTGTCCTGCAGTGAACCCTAGCTCCGTCATGAGCCCCGCTGGCTCCAGCCAGGCCGAGGAGCAGCAGTACCTGGACAAGCTGAAGCAGCTGTCTAAGTACATCGAGCCCCTGCGCCGCATGATCAACAAGATCGACAAGAACGAAGGTGGGCCCGGTGCTGGGGCTGGGGCCGGGGCCCCTGGACTCCTGGGGCTGTGTCTGAGGCTCCCCTCTCATGTCCAGACAGGAAAAAGGACCTGAGTAAGATGAAGAGCCTTCTGGACATTCTGACCGACCCCTCTAAGCGGTGAGCTTCGCCCCAGGGCTCTGGGGAGGACAGTGCCGTGCTGGCCTCTGGCCTGACTTCCACCTTGCTGGCACCCCCTCCGGGCTGCTGCGGCGGCAGCGGCCTGCCTCCACCCGGCAGCCATCACAGTTGGGCCTCACAGGCCGCTGTCCAAGTCTCAGCCTGTGGAGCTCTCGCTGTGAGCCGGCCACACTGGGCCTGAGTCTTACCTTGAGCCAGTGACCTTGGACAGGCGGCTGTCTCAGTCTCCCCAGCTGCAACCCACATGTGCCGATCATGGAATGAAACGAGGGAGTGCCCGAGTGCCCTGGGAAAAGCACATGGAAGGCGGGGCCCCCCGGTGCTTAGCCCCTCCCCTGCTCACCGGCCTGCAGCTGCTGTGAGCACAGCACAGCCATGAAGAGCTGTGCACCAGGCTGGGCGTGGTGTTCGTGCCCTCGCGTCTCCTTGCCCCAGCTCATGCTCTGCTCCCCTTCCAGAAGGTTCTCCCTGTCCCTGCTGAACAGGCCTGCTGGAACTAGACAGCCTTCCAGGGCCTGTTGGGGTTATAGGGCCAGGGGCTCCTTCAGTGACTCAGAGATGAGACTGAGGCTTTCCCTGCCTGGACAGGGGCCCTGTGTCTGTCCTTGCCCCAGACCCACTGCACTGCCTTGTTCTGCTCACCTGGAATGGGCAGCTCCTGGGGCCAGAGACTCCCTTGCCTTAAACTACATCTTGAAACAGCTGGTCAGCTGACGGGGGTTCCTGCAGAGGTTCCCGATGGCCAAGGCCAGGGAACAACAGCCCCTGTGCCCTGTCCCTGCAGCTGTCCCCTCAAGACCCTGCAGAAGTGTGAGATCGCCCTGGAGAAGCTCAAGAATGATATGGCGGTGGTGAGTGGAAGGGCCTTGGAACACAGCTGGGAGGAGTCTCCCTGGTCGGGGCAGGTGGGGCCGCACCACTCAGCCCGGGACTGGACCTCACCTGGGGACCCCGTCCCGGAGGCTTCTTTGAGGCCAGGTCTGTTGGGGGATGTGAGGAGGCTGAATGAACTCTCTCTCCACTCAGCCTCCGTGGGCTTGGAGCCCGCAGGCCCAGCACGAGGCCTATCTGGGGATGGGACATGGGTGGGAACGAGGCAGGGACAGGGATTGTGTCCAGGGTTGGCCCCCATTGGGTGCACAAGGGTGGAGGCTGTGGGCAGAGCCTCAGGAATCTGGGCCTGAGTGAGGTCTGGAAGTCCTGTCAGTGTGGGCAGGACTGTGAGCCCCGGGCTGCTAACCCCACCCGTCCTGTCCCCAGCCCACGCCCCCACCACCTCCAGTGCCACCAACCAAGCAGCAGTACCTGTGCCAACCGCTCCTGGACGCCGTCCTGGCCAACATCCGCTCCCCCGTCTTCAATCATTCCCTGTACCGCACGTTCGTGCCGGCCATGACGGCCATCCACGGCCCACCCATCACGTACGTACAGCCTGCACTGGGTTCACGGGGGCCGGCAGGCCAGGGGCACGCACGTGGCCAGTGTGGTCACTCTGGGCCGTGGGCCTCCTCCAGGGCCCCGGTGGTGTGTGCCCGGAAGCGCAGATTTGAGGAGGATGAGCGGCAGAGCATCCCCAACGTGCTCCAAGGGGAGGTGGCCAGATTAGACCCCAAGTTCTTGGTGAACTTGGACCCTTCTCACTGCAGCAACAACGGCACCGTCCACCTGATATGCAAGCTGGGTGAGTGTCCAGGGAGGGCGCGGGCTGGCACCAGGCGAGCCTGTGCCAAAAGACACCAAGTACCTGGGCCTGCCGGACACGCGCACCCTCCCCAGAGCCTGCCCTGCACTCACACAGCCCTAGCCCTCCCTCTCACAGTGCTCAGCCGTCTCCAGCCCCAGGCTCTGGGGGCGGGACCCCTGGGCATCCTACGCAGGGCACTCTCTGGCCTTTCCAGGGTGTGAAGAGCCCTGTCCAGAGCAGGCCGTGTAGCAGGCAGGGCTTGGCCAGGTCCCAAGTGCAGCCTCCTGTGTTGCAGATGACAAGGACCTGCCGAGCGTGCCACCGCTGGAGCTCAGCGTGCCTGCCGACTACCCCGCCCAGAGCCCGCTGTGGGTCGACCGGCAGTGGCAGTACGGTGGGTGAGCCCAGGGGAGCTGTGTGCCCTGCCCACCTGCTGTCCCTGGGTAATCAGCAGTCCCCTGCAGAGGGAAGGGCCTCTGGCCTCCCCACGGCTCTGTACAGCAGGCCACAGGTGTGACCCGCTGCTCCTGGGCGCCACCATGTGGCTGTGTGAGGCTGATGCAGGCACCACCAGGAGTTGGGTTTCATGGAGACCATCTGGGTGACGTGGCTCCAGAGACAGCTCCGCTGGTGGAGGTCAGCCCCTCTGAGGCTGAGCTAGGGCCTGGCAGAGGCAGGACTACCTCCCCAGGAGCACCACAGAGGGAAAGCTGGGGTTTCCGGTTCCGACTCACTGCAGCTCTTCTCCAAAGCCACAGGGTGTGAGGGGATGAGGTCGGATTAGGCGATCGGATGGCTAGCCAGGATGGCCCCTTCCCGGAGGTGGTCATCGGGGCTAGACTGCCCCTGCTCTGTTGCAGATGCCAACCCCTTCCTGCAGTCGGTGCACCGGTGCATGACCTCGAGGCTGCTGCAGCTCCCCGACAAGCACTCGGTCACAGCCCTGCTCAACACCTGGGCCCAGAGCGTCCACCAGGCCTGCCTGTCGGCCACCTAGCTGGGGCCGTGGACAGGCCTCCTGTCGGACGAGGTGGGCAGCGGCTCCCTGCGGGGCCCGGGTTAGGTTAGCTTTCCTGCTTCTATCTTCCGCCTTGGGGACCTGCCACGCATTTACCCCAGCTGTACAGTCCCGGCACGGGTGGCCGGGAGCTGGGAGCCGTCTTCTCAGAACATCGTCCACAGGACTTGCTCCAGGAGTCAGACACTTCCCACGGCCCCCAGGCTCCGCGTCCGCTCTCAGCAGCATGGGGGAGAGCTCAGGGCCCTGCTGAGGCGTCCTGTACACGTGTGCTGGGGGCGTGGGTGGCCTGGGAGAGCCCCTGCGCACACAGCCCTCCACACAGTGTTGGGGCACGTGGGGCACTCCGCGGGGAAGGCGCCCGCCGTGAAGGATGAAGAGTGACCAACTGGGCACTTCCTCTGGGCCACTCGGGAGCCGGCGGCCCCTCGTGGCGAGAGCTCCCCTTTTTATATGTGCACTACCCCGTCATGTGGTTCTTACAATAAATTTATTATTCCTGTGTTCGTCAGGAGTTCATCACTGTGTCCCCTCCTCCAGTGGGGCCCGCTGTCCCGCCAGGGACACTGTCAACCTTGCAAGTGTCCAGTGTGGCCCTGGATGCCCCTGACCTCCCCTCGTGTGCCACAGCTTCCTGTTCCTTGTGCTGGCTTTTCTCCGGGTTACCAGCTGAATTCCCGCCAGGGCTAACGGGGGAAATGGGACAGCGAGGTGGGGGGACAGTGCTGCCTGGGCAGGGTGGGCGCCAGGCTGAGCACCGCGGGCGTGGGGCCGTGGCTTTTCCGGGGAAAAGCGTTCTCCACTGGCCGTGGCTCTCTAAGGAGGAAGGCGGCTCCGCGCACCGGCTCGTCAGCAGCCTGGGGCACTGAAGCCGACGAGGACAGCAGCTGGCCGGGGAGCGTGGAGTCGGCCTGAGCGGCCCTGCCAGGGAGCAGGGAGGCTGCCTGGCCCCCGGGGCCGTTCCTCTTCCGGGAGCCAGCAGCGCTGGCACGAGTGGGGAGCTGGCGGCGGGACACCCTGCAGGCGGTGAGGAGGGACACGTGCGCTCCGAGAAGCGAGCTTTATTTTGTCTTCGGCAGGTAGGATCACACTTACTTCACCAGCGTGCTTGTGTGTGACTGCAGGGCTGCGGGGGGACAGCGAGAAAACAGACAGCTCCCCAGTTCCAAGATTAAGTGCTTTATCTGTCACGAGTCTTATCCTGGCACTGAGCTTGGCTTTGAAGTATTAGAATTCTGTTTTAAAATGCTATGGCGTGGGGGCTGGGCTTAGGGCTGCGGGCGGGGCCTGGCTCAGAGCACCGAGCGGTGCAGGCGCCGGCTCTGCACCACCTGCAGCCTCTTCTGCCGCTCGGCGAAGTTGCTCTTCAGGGTCTGCTTCAGCGCGGGCAGGATGGAGCACTGCGCCGCGGGCACGGGACTGAGGATCAGGCTGCGGGGAGGGGCGGTCAGCCGGGCGCTGCAGCCGCCGCCCCCAGGAGGCCGCTCTGCGCTCCCCGCGTGGAGACTCACCACTTCTTAGAGACGCCCTTGGAGGTTGACAGCTGGGGGAACTGCGTGGCCTCCTGCTCCCTGGGGACGGAAGAGTCCACAGTGAGCCGGCAGAGCCGGCCCCCTCTGCGCGGGGCGGGGCGGGGCTGGGACGCGCAGGCGCAGCAGGCACTCACTTCGGGGAGCTAGGATCGACCTCCTCCGCCGCAGCCTTGGCCCCCTGGTTCCCTTCCAGGAGGGACTTGAGGTGCTGCAGCTGAAAAGCAGGGAGGGGAGGGACGGGCGTGGTGGGACCCGCGGGGCGCTGCCCCCCACCCCTCCCCCCCAGGCCTCACCTCTTGGGCCTGCAGGAGGTTGGCGTTCCACAGCTGCCGAATGACCACCTCACACTGCTGCACCGTGGTGGGCTTCCGCAGGTGCGGGGGCAGGCTCGCCAGGGGGCCCGCCCCCACAGCCTGCCTGCCTTTGTGCTGGCTGCCCCCGCGCAGGGCGGCCCCCGGGGTCCAGGTCTCCACCTCTTCGTCTCTGAAACAGGTATTGCGGCAGCCCCGAGGTTTCCTGCCCGGATCGCTAACCGCCCAGCCTCCGCCCCCACCCAGGGCAGTGCCCGTGCCAGCTCAGGGCTCCTAGGGATGAGGCCTCTACCCAGCTTCCTTCTCCCACTGACCAGGGTGCTGTGGACAGCAGATGGGAAGTCCGGGCCCAGCCATGACCTGAGCCTGTCCCATCTCCCCTTTCCGCCTCCCCAAGGTCACTGAGGGCCCGAGACCAGATTCCTGGGGGTGGCCAGCAAGCTGCCAGGCTGTCCTTGGGCCTGACCCTACACCTGAGGGCTGGTCGTGGGGCGATCTCGGCTCTGCAGGTTGCACTGCCCAGACTGCTCTGCAGTGTCCCAGGGACATCCCAGAAGCCTGCGTCACCAGAGCCGGGCCCTGCTCTGGGCTGCCGGCCCCGTGCCTTCCAGAGGCCGCAGCCAGGACCCTGTGCACGGCTGTCTTGATAAAATGTGAGTTCATGTGGAAACCATTTGCCTTTTTCATTTCTCTGCGAAAGCAGTTTCGGGGCTGCTGGTGGTCCCTCCTAGGGCTCAGCTCAGCACAGGGACCCTGCAAGGGGCCGCCCCCCGTAGGAGAGGAGGGGAGGAAGGCGGTGCCCGCCAGGTGGAGCCTGGCTGTCAGGTGTCCATGAGGCCTGCTCACGTTGCAGACAGGCCCACGGGGAAGGGAGCACAAAGCGGCTTCCTGGTTCCAGAGTAGTGTTGGGTGCAGCCCTGGCCTCTGGGTGCCGGCCGCCTACCTGGCCTGCCCCTGCGCCCCAGGGACTCTGTCCAGCTTGCTGTTGTGAAACACAGGAGTGTCCACGGGCTCCTCGTCCAGGTCCATCTTCTGGAAGGGGTCAGCTTTCGAGTCTTGCTTCTTGAAGGAGCCAGGCTGGAGTCTGGCTTTGCCTTGGGAAGCAACTGTAGGGGAGACCCAGGAGGGCCAGTCACCGCAGGCTCGCGACGTGCTGCATGTGCCCAGCAGGCCCTGATCCCCTGGAGGGGAGCCGGGCACAGAGCCTGCCTCACAGGACTGCTGGGGGGAGTGGCAGGTCCCTGGCGTAGCCTGTGGGCGGAGTCTGCTGCTCCTGTTGTAGGCGGGTTGAAGCAGAGATGTTGGGATCCAGTCTGCATGCGTCATTCAAAGACAAGGCCACTGCTTGCCTGCCCAGGCCCTGCACAGAGGAAGGGGGAGCCCTCTGCTCCCCTCCTGCCCCTCGTTCTGCTAAAGACACCCCGGGCCCGGACCGTCAGCAGGGCTGTCCCACTCCCATCCTGCCTGCTTTGGGGACAAAGGCCACCCCCCCAACCCCGGTACACAGAAGACCACCCAGGGTGGCCCAGTGGGAGTTCACAGACCCCCGCTGACACTTGGCCCACCTGCTCACGTCCCTGCCCTAGGTTGTACCTGCCATGAGACCTTGCTGCCCTGTGCTGGCTGCAGGGCCCTACCCTGCGTTTGTGGCCTCCCTCAGGCCAGCCTGTGGTCCTGTCCCAGCCCACATCAGCCTCCTGGTGGCGTTAGCTCGTGGGGCTACCACCGTGGCTCCCTTTCAGCTGTTCCTGCCGTCACAGGGCCACTGTGGGCGTTCAGGTTTCTGGCCCCCAGCAGGGCACCTGGCATGTGGAGGCTGCTGGCCAACTCACCCGACACCGTCGAATTGGAGAGGGACTTGTTGGACTGAAAGCTCAAAGTGGAGATGCTACCTGCGAGAGAACAGGGGTCAGCCCAGTGTGGCACAGAGTCCCCCCACCATGCCTGCCTCCCGGCCTGGCCAGGCCCCTGCTGCTCCCCTTTCAGGAGCTCGGCTCAGAAGAGGGAGGGATTGAGCAGTCTCCTGGAGCAGCCCCAAGCCGCCTGCCACTGCCCCTGGGCCTCCAAGAGGCCCTGGCTGATAGGCGGTGGCACCTGGCCAGGTCCCCTAGAGCCCAAGCCCACTGGGTTCACTGGGCCAAGGGACTGCTCCAGATGGCGGTAACCTCTCAGACACGCAAGGGCCCCAATCTTACTTTTTTTCGGTGGCTTCTGATTCATTATGAGCTTGTATTGGAGGTCTGAAAACAAACACAGGCTCTCCTGGTCACTTGGAAAGTCAAGTCCACTCAAGAGCAGCAGTTTGGGCTGCACTGCCCTCTCCCTCCCAGGGGTACTGGCCCACGACTGGGGCTGGCTGAGCCCTGTAACGGGGGTCCCGCCTCAGGCACTCCAGCCCTGACTCCATCGACGATGCCTGTAGGGCACCCTGTGTGCCGGCTGCCCTTGGGCTCCAGGGGTACAGAGGTGAGTTAGGGTGACCCAGCCCCCAGCCCCGCTGTGGATGAGCAGGTCTGGTCAGCAATGATCACGTGGCCTGGGCATCCAGGGCTGGGGAGGCGGAGCCGACATAACAGATGCCTGGCAGAAGAATACTTGGCGCGCGCCAAAGGTGGAGGGAGAAACTGAGGCAGCAGGCCTGGCTGTCCTGGGGAGGGGGCTGCGCCTTCCGTGGGGGGGCTTCACTGGAGGAAGACAGCACGCCGGACCCTCGCACTTGTTGGGTTTTGCCTCTCTATAAAGCTTTGAACACCGGTGGGCCTGACCCTGCCTGAGTCTGTGCTGCGGCCGCCCCCGCCCCTCGCGGGTGGGCAGCGTGTCCCCCACGCCCCCGGGGCCGCGCCCAGGCCCACCCTTGTTCTCCCGCTTCAGGTGCTCGATCTCCTCGTGGAGCTTGACCAGCGTCTCCGAGTGCTGCTGCTGCAGGAACTGCAGGCTCTTCTCCAGGTCCAGGACCCGCTTCTGCGCCTCGCTCAGCCCGGCCTGCGCGCCCTGCTGCCCCGCCGCGGGCAGCCCCGCAGGTGGGCGCGGGCGCGGGCGCGACGTGCCCCGGGAGCCCGGGCTGGCCCAGCTCGGGGGCCGCGCCCCCGCCGCTATCCCCAACCCGCTCATGTCGCTGCACACCAGCTCAGTGACTCAGAGCCGGCCTGGCCTGGCTCCGCGTCGCCATGGAAACGGGCACGTCCCAGGGGCGTGTCGGGAGGCTGGGGCGGGGCTTGCCCGCATTCTCTGCGGGGGATGGGGGCGGTGCCCCGACTCAAAGGCTGCTGATTCTCCCGAGGCGGGGATGCTGGGCGGGCGTGGAAGACCCCACCTGCCTTGGCGGGGCGCCTGGCTTCCGGGACCTGACCGCCTCCAGCTTCCCGGCAGGCAAAAGTGATTGTCTCAAGTCCTGAGCTCTGTGCAGCCCAAGGGACAACAATAAACTGAAGAGGAGGGTCATTCTCTGATTTAAATGTCAGAAAGTCCTGTGCCTTTACAGTTCTTTGGGTTTTTAAGATTTATTTGAAAGGCAGAGTTACAGACAGGCAGAGGCAGAGAGAGAGAATGAGAGGGGCCTTCCTATCCGCTGGTTCAGTCCCCAAATGGCCCCAGTGGCTGGAGCTGGGCTGATGCAAAGCCAGGAGCCAGGTGCTTCCTCCTGGTCTCCCACGCGGGTGCAGGGCCCAAGCACTTGGGCCATCCTCCACTGCCTTCCCGGGCCACAGCAGAGAGCTGGCCTGGACATGGGGCAGCGGGGACTAGAACCAGCGCCCATATGTGAGCTGAAGGCCAGATCTCCCACGTGGGTGGCAGTGGCCCAGCTACTGGAACCATCCCTCAGTGCCTCCGAGAGTGCAGACGAGCGGAGCCAGAACTGAAAACCAGGCGCTGGTACGGGGTCTGCAGTCCCAGCCAGCGGTGCGGGGGCGTTTACCAGACACCTGCCCCCTGCTTGTTGTGCTGTAGTAGTTCACTTTGTAAAATAATTCATCTTCCTTTATAGTTGCAAGCCCTAAGCATGTTTTTACAGTGTTCCAGGAAGTCATGAAAAGTCTGTTTGGGGGGCACTGGTGATCGGTGTTGCTCATCACTTGTCCCGTGCCCTCCCTCTCCCCCTCTTGGCTTTTGGGAAGACGTCCTTTCCCACCTGCTTAGGGGAACACCTGCTTCGCGCCTGGGGTCTCCCCACCTGGCCTAAGCCAGGGCAGTCCAGCAAGGGAATGGCGGGCTCACGCTGGGCTCGTGCCCCTCGCCAGATGTGAGAGCCAGGGCGTGGGTTCTGGCAGAGCAACTGCCCCACTAGTGCCGTTTATTTTGGGAGATGGGAGTCTGCACTTGCAATAACTCAGCATTCGTGTGCGGAGCTGCCCCTGTGCTGCGGGTGGGCACGGCACAGGGTGAGGCGGGGGTGTGCTCCAAACAGCTGCCCTTGCCCGTGGGGCTCCCAGTGCAAACGGGAAGCTAGAACTTCCTCTCAGATCCTCGCAGGCCCTGACCCGCGCATGCACACACGTGCTGCCCTCCCCAGGAGACAGCGGAAGAGCTGAATCAACGCCTCGGTTTCCCGTTTAAACCCCTCAAGGGCCACACCTTATGAGTGCAGACTGTTCCAGGAAGCGAGTGGCCCTAGGACTGGGGACAAAATCCGAACCCGCCTGCCCTAAATGATGCCGAGGCCTCTGCAAGTACATGGGACCCAGCGGCCAGGAAGTCAGCCACAGACAGGCAGGTGCACACAAGGCTGGCTGAGAGGCAAGATGCAGGCCGCAGGAGCACGTGTGCGGACAGTGATGGAGTGAACAGGAAACTGCTTTATAATGTCTTTTAAAAAAGGATTGCTGGGGCCTGCCGCGCTCACTAGGCTAATCCTCCACCTGCGGCGCCAGCACACCGGATTCTAGTCCTGGTCAGGGTGCCGGGTTCTGTCCCAGTTGCTCCTCTTCCAGGCCAGCTCTCTGCTGTGGCCCGGGAGTGCAGTGGAGGATGGCCCAGGTGCTTGGGCCCTGCACCCCATGGGAGACCAGGAGAAGTACCTGGCTCCTGGCTTCGGATCAGCGCGGTGCGCCGGCCACAGCGGCCATTGGGGGGTGAACCAATGGAAAAGGAAACATTCTCTCTGTCTCTCTCTCTCTCTCTGTCCACTCTGCCTGTCAAACAAATAAATAAATAAAAGGATTGCTGGGGCTGGCGCTGTGGTGCAGCGGGTTAAGCTGCCGCCTATGATGCCAGCATCCCATATGCGCGTTGCCTTGAGTTCTGGCTGCTCCACTTCTGATCCAGCTCTCTGCTGTGGCCTGGGAAAGCAGTAGAAGGTGGCCCAAGTGCTTGGGCCCCTGCACCGACATAGGAGACCTGGAAGAAGCTCCTGGCTCCTGGCTTCAGATGGGCACAGCTCCGGCTGTTGTGGCCACTTGGGGAGTGAACCAGCAGATGGAAAACCTCTCTCTCTCTAACTCTGCCATTCAAATAATTAAATAAAATCCTTGAAATAAAGAAAGAAACCTACAGAAACACCGCATTACTGTAGTAACTAATAATCTAAAAAAGAAAAAAAAATGAAACTCTGGAAATTTTATGAGCAATTGGGATAGATCTATGTGTAAATACTTGAACAATTCATGGAAAATGGAATCTAAAACACATGAAAGGTGTCGGGGTCAAATGGAGTTGCCTGTGTCCACCCTGACAAAGAGAACCAGAACCAAAGTACTGAAGAAAGAGTTCTTGGGCCCTGCTGCCCTGAGAGACTGCCCCTCCCCTAACAGCAGCCATGGTCACGCACGGCCCGCGTCTCCACTGGCAGTGCGTGCTCGCTCGCTCATCCTCTGACTCCCGTTTGCTGTGTCATCTGGCTTGGCATGCAAAACCAGTTTGAAATCCATGTGTGTTGTTTTTATAACACACATTTTCCATGAGTTGGTTATTTAGAAAACGTTCTTGAAAAAGAGCAAGCTTCCGGCTGCTGGCTCACTCCCCAAACACCCACAGCAGCCAGCACTGGGCCAGGCCAGAGCCCTTAATCATCCTTGTAGGGTGGACTATTCCATTAAACAGCTAGCTCAGTGCCGTGACGCACTTGGTTAATCCTCCACCTGTGGCGCCTGCATCCCATATGGGCACCAGTTCTAGTTACGGCTGCCCCTCTTCCAGGCCAGCTCTCTGCTGTGGCCCGAGAGTGCAGTGGAGGATGGCCCAAGTGCTTGGGCCCTGCACCCCATGGGAGACCAGGAAAAGCACCTGGCTCCTGGCTTCGGATCAGCGTGGTGTGCCGGCCACAGTGCGCCGGCTGCAGCAGCCGTTGGGGGGTGAACCAACGGCAAAGACCTTTCTCTCTCTCTCTCTCTCTCTCTCACTGTCCACTCTGCCTGTCAAAAAAAAAAAAAATTCTGTCAAAAAACCAAAACACTGTGGGGCAGCTTCCAGCAGGTCCCTAGGAGGGGTCTGGATGGGCGTCAGAGCAGACCTTCCAATGGGGGCAGAGGCCATGATGCTCCTGACCTTGGCCTGGTGCAGGTCTAGACTGCTCAGTGTGTGTGTGTGTGTGTCTTACTTTGAACCAAAACGTTTAAAAGCACAAAAATGTAAAAATAGCAGAAAAATCTAGTTAGATGCAGATATTTTTAAAATAATGCTTTCATACTGTTGTACAATGTGTGTTTTAAGCTAAGTCAAAAGGTTTCTAAAAATTACGAGTTTATATAAAGTAAAAACATTACAGGAAGCAAAAGTTGATTTGCAAAGGACAAGAACTTGAGTGAACTCAAGTTGCGTGTTGTTGGGTGTGTGGTGGCCATGTCGTCCTGCCTCTCCCTCGTCACCCTGACACCACAGCACCCTCAAGCTCTACGCAGGTGAGTCACTTTTCAAAAATCTGTTACACATCTATTTTACTGTGCCTTTATGTCTAGATATACAGCCATCGTATCAGGGTTACCTGTAGCATTTTGTACAGTAACCCACTCTCTATCTTTGTAATTTAATTTTCATTTTGTTTGAAGGGGAGAGTTCTTCCATCTGCTGGTTCACTCCCCAAATGCCTGCAACACCTGGTGCCGGGCCAGGCTGAAGCCAGGCGCCCAGAACTCCATCCGGGTCTCCCACGTGGATGGCAGGGCCCAGGTACTTGAGCCATTCCCTGCGGCCGTCCAGGGTGCATGTTAGCAGGCAGCTGGAACCGGAAAGTGGAGCCAGGCGCTCTTGGTAATGGGTCCCTGGGGTCTCAAGCTGCAGCTTACGGCTGAGCCAAGTGCACACGCCCACAAAAAGACCATCTCCATTTCCATCCTTGGGTTCTGAGTAGGCCTCTCTGCCTACATGGCCAGTCTTGCTGCCTTCCGTGCCTTTGCCAAGTGGCTTGAGTGTTTTGTGCTGCATGGAGGGGGCCTGGGCACAGAGGCTCCCGGAGTTGCTGTGGTGTTGTAACTGTGGGTGTCCGAGGTGTCTCCGTCGCCTTCAGGCGGTCCTCGAGATTGACTTCATAAATAGGTTCTGCTATGCTGCTGAGATGGGGGGAGGGGCAGCCCTGGTGCAGGAGGCTGCGCGTGGCCTTCAGGGCACCCACCTGTCTCCTCCCGCCACCAGCAGGGCGATCAACAGTGATCTGTGGTTATCACCCGGTGATATATGCTGCACATTACTGTATATGCTCTGATTTTTTAAGAAAGTATTTATTTGATAGAGTTGAGTGAGATCTTCCATCAGCTCGTTCACTCCCCGAATGTTGGGGGGGACCGCAGCCAGGGCGGTCCCAGGCCAAAGCCGGGAGCCAGGAACTCCATCCTGGTCCCTGACATGAGTGACGTGGACCCAAGTATTGGGCCATCACCTGCTGCCTTCCCAGGAGTTCAAGCACAAGTGGAAACAAGCAGTCTCAGCCTGCCCCCAGTGAATGACAGAATTTTATTAAAATTGTGATTTTACAAAGAGGGGAGAGAGAGGAGAGACGGATGCCTACAATAGCAAGGGCTGGGCGAGGTGGGGCTCAGGCGCCAGGAAGTCCATCCAAGTCTCCCACACGCGTGGCAGAGGTCTGCCTCCCAGGGTGAGCACGAGCAGGGAGCTGGGTCAGAGATGGAGCAGACTCCAGACTCCACTGTACAACAGTGTGCCTCCAGACGCAGGCATCCCAGGCGGCACTTACAGCCACTGCGCCAACACCCACCCCACTGAATCATACAGACACAACACACTTTTTTTTTCTTTTGACAGGCAGAGTGGACAGTGAGAGACAGGTCTTCCTTTTCCATTCACCCTCCAATGGCCGCTATGGCCAGTGTGCCGCGGCCGGCGCACCGTGCTGATCCAAAGCCAGGAGCCAGGTGCTTCCCCTGGTCTCCCATGGGGTGCAGGGCCCAAGCACTTGGGCCATCCTCCACTGCACTCCCTGGCCACAGCAGAGAGCTGGCCTGGAAGAGGGGCAACTGGGACAGAATCCAGCGCCCCAACCGGGACTAGAACCCGGTGTGCCAGCGCCACTAGGCGGAGGATTAGCCTAGTGAGCCGCGGTGCCGGCTTTTTTTTCTGTTTTTGGAAGACTTACTTGAAAGAGACAGATCTTCCCTCCGCTGGTTCACTTCCCAACTGGCTGCAATGGCTCGGACTGGGCCATCACTAAGCCATGAGCCAGGAACTCCATCCGGGTCTTGCACGTGGGTGCAAGCCTGCAAGCGCTGGGCCTTTGCAGGTGCATTAATAGGGAGCTGGGTTACAAATGGCGCAGCCAGGACTTGACTAGCACTCACATGGAACACCGACCCAGACTTCAATACGAGTCTACCCAACGCAGTTAGAATGAGGGTTTTTTCCTCTTCAGGTTCAATTCCAAGCTCCACTGCCTACAGACGCAGACCCTGGCAGGTGGAGGTGATGGCTCAAGTAACTGGGTCCCTGCTATGCACACAGGAAACCCAGACTCAAGTCCCTCGGCCCTGTCCAGGCCATTATGGGCAACTGGAGTGACCCAGTGCATGGGCGCTCTCAACCATCTCTGCCCCTCCAATGAGAACTGTAAGTGCCGAGTGAAGCCCTAGAGCCGACCGGCGGATCTGTGAGCAGGTGGGGCGTGGCCCGAGGGGGATTCACTGGTGACTCTCCCAGGTCAGTGTCCTCTGCCTGGAGCTGCCTCCCACCTGGGCGTGGCAGTGTCGTCTGTGAGACAACACTGAGGGTCTCAGACCCTGGTTCTTCCACCCAGGGTCTGCACACATCCCTGACTGCGCTTGGGCCGTGGACGATGCATTCCACCACGTCCAGCAGGCAACCCTCCCAGAGAGGCCATCTCAGCGGGGCGTAGGCTCCATAACACAAATGCAGGCCGCCCCCCAAGGTTTGAAGTTCAGACAAGTAAACTCGTCCCATGTAAGTATATCCTAGCCAACCTCAGCCTTAGCTTGTCTTCCTTTATTTGAAAGGCAGAGTGACAGGGAGAGACGGAGCTCTTCCGTCTGCTGGTTCACTCCCCAGCTGGCTGCCCACAGCCAGGCCACAAGCAGGAGCCAGAAACCGCAGCCCAGCCGCCGGTGAACGGCAGGGATGTCGGTCAGTGCTTCAGCTGCTGCCACCGCCTCCCAGGGGCGTGAGAAGGAAGCAAATCCGAAGCGGAGTCAGGACAGGAACCAGGCACTCCCACATGGAAGGTGAGCGCCCCACGCTGCAGCTTAACCCTGTGTGCCACAATACGTGCCCCTCGTTTTGTTTTTTCTTGGTTTAATCATCTATTTTTCAAAGACTTACTTTATTTTGAAATAGAGGGAGACAGATTTTCCATTCACTGGTTCACTCCTCAAACAGCCACGACCACTGGAGCTTCTTCCAAGTCTCCCACGTGGGTGCAGGGCCCAGGCACTGGGGCCGTCTTCTACTGCTTTTCCCGGGCACACGAGCAGGGAGCCGGATTGAAGTGGAGCAGTGGGGATTCGAACCAGCACTCCTAAGAGATGCTGGCGCTGCAGGCCGTGGTTTAACCTGCTGGGTCACAACGCTGGCCCCTAATTATTTTTAAATAAGCTTCACTGAGACATTAATGAGCACAATGAGGGACCAGCTGAGTGGGGACACGCGAGGGCTCGAGGGCCTGGCGTGGAGGAAAAGGAATGGACTCTGCTGATGGCAGCGGAGGAGCCACAAGATGTTCTTGACGACACTGACTAGAGTGCCACGTTCAGGGGCCGGCACCATGGTGCAGCAGGTTAATCTGCCTATGGTGCCGGCATCCTATATGGGTGCTGGTTCTAGCCCTAGCTGCTCCACTTCTGATCCAGCTCTCTGCTATTGCCTGGAATAGCAGAAGATGGCCCAGGTCCTTGGGCCCCTGCACCCACATGGGAGACCCAGAAGAAACTCCTGGCTTTGGATCAGCTCATCTCTGACCACTGTGGCCATCTGGGGAGTGAACCAGCGTAAGGAAGACCTTTCTCTCTCTAACTCTACCTCACAAATAAATAAGATTAAAAAAAAAAAAAAAAAAAAAAAAGCCAAGTTCAGGGCAATTGAGAAGCTAGGAGCAGGGGAAAGGCAGCAACCACAGGGTTAACAAGCAGATGAGGACGAATCTTACGCTGGAAATCCAACTGCGAATGTTTTGTCAATGAAGTTCTGGAGTTTGCTGGGGCTGGGGGGGCGGGGGACACCTGCCTGGGCAGATGTTCCTGGGGCTGCTGACCCTGGCTGCTCCCAGAAACACTCTCAAGGTAAAGCCAGGTCTCATCTGTCCACTGTCGAGGAGCAGAAGGCCACATCACAGGGCCGAGGGCTTGCGTGGACCTGGCTCCCTGAGCTGGGCACCCACCCAGTGCAAGGGGTGTCCAGGGGCCCCGTGTGGGTGAACCTGCTGCAGCCCAAGCCCAGGCAAGGGGAGACTCAGAAGCAGTGATGGGTTTATTCAGATCCATGGGCAGCTACAAGTTTGGTCTGATTTTTGGCCACTGGTCCCGAATGCTGTTACGCCAAGTTTACACCACAGCATAAAACCCAACACTGACAATCTGGAAACGTTAAAAAGAACCCCTCCACACCAGCACTGGTGGTCTGGCTTAAACCCCAGCGAGCTGTTCTCACTGGGCGCAGGACCCGTGAAGGGGAGACGCATGGGGACTTCCGACAGTGACATGCACCCGCGTACGTCGGGATCATTTCGGTGTCATCAAAAGGTGACTCTTTGGCTATCTTTGGTTGCCAGCGGCACCGGACTCCACCATCCCAGCTGCGTCCGTCTGCGAGCCAAGCGAGTGCCCGCCGGCCCGGGGAGAGGCGAGGCCCTGTGCTGAGCACCGCACTCCGAGAGCACCTCTGCCTCCTTCGAAGCGGAGTTCGAGGCCCTGCGGATTCCTGCTTCGCCACGTGACCTTCACAGCCGGAGCCTCACTCCCTCAAGGGCCTCTGGGGAGCTCTCGTCAGGTCTTCTCATGGGGGAGGAGCCATCTCAGCCAGCCCGTCGGGGGAGACAGGCCTGAGGCAGGCGGAGGGCACAGTGGGCCTCGCGCTCTCCACGGCAAAACCCCAACACGGCCACCGGAAAAAAAGGCATCGAGAGCTAGGGGCCTGTGGCTGGGCGCTGGCTGGGCATGACTCTCGGGCCCCGATGCCCACTTCCCTGCCAAGCCTGGGACACGCCTTTCTCCTGTCTCCCAGGAACGGCACTCTCGCAGAAAACGCCTGAGACGCCCAAGGATGCCCACGCTCTGGCTGGGAGGGGCCATCCAGCGAACCTACCACTCTGCACCGGGCGCAGAGGCCACGGCCTGTCAGAGCTGGTGCAGCTTCCCCCTCTCGGTCAGCAGCGTCATGGCCACGGCGTAGAAGAGGTAGCCCAGGATGAGGATGAGGGTGCAGGGCACGGGCCCGATAGAGAACAGCGAGGCCACAAAGAAGGCCAGCAGGAGTGTGAGCAGCGTCCGCCAGCTGCCCAGGAAGCGCAGGCTCAGCCTCGGGCCCCGGACCTGGCTGGCGGCTGGCCGGGGCCGCGCGGGGCTCAGCAGGCGCCTGTCGGCCAGCGCGGGCTCCGTGAGGTGGTAGCGACAGAAGCCGCCGAGGAAGTCGTCCCGGGAGCACAGTGCTGCCATCCGGCCTGCAAACTGAAGCACAGGGAAGCTGAGGGAGCCCTGGCCGCGGGCACCGCTCCGGCGGCACCTCCAAGGTCTGCAGGAGAGGAGGCATCCCCGGGAGGGCAGTCTGGAAGCCCCCACTCACTCTGTGGTTGATGGCGGACGACAGCCGGAAGAGGGCGCGGACCAGGCCTGCGATCTCGTAGCTCCGGATGGGCTGCAGCTCCGAGTCCCCCTGGTACTCGATTTCAAACCTCCGCAGCCCGTTGATGATCTACAAGACCGTGCCGTGAGGACACCTTTGCGGTCGGTGGGCCCAGCTGGGCACCCCGGGGACACGGCCTCCTACCTGGTAGCGGCCTAGGGGTGTGAGGATGAGCCCGTTCTCCCCCACAATGCAGTCCGGGAGCTGCTTCTTCCCGTTCTCGTCCTGGGCGGCCCCCAGGGCCAGCGTGAGCTGGGCGAGCTGGGCTTCGCTGAGCTGTCAGAGAGCAAGGCCGCGCCCTCAGCGTCGGGGGGAGGGGAGAGGCTGGTCCCTACCACCCACGGCTCCCAACAGTGAGAGGGGCCCAGATATGGCATCCTAGGTGTGGGCCTGTCTCCCACCAGACGAGCCCAGGGGAGCCCCGCTGGGCAGGGGTGAGCCCCTCCGGGAGAGGAGCACGCTGGCCGCAGGGCCGGGGCAGAGCCCGTACTCGGAATATCTGGCGCAGGTACTCCAGGGCCTTCTCCAGGTACTCATCCGTCTTGCGCACGCTGTCCTGCCCCAGCTCGTCCAGGTCATTGGCTGGGTAGCAGCCATTGGCGTCTGCGGGCCAGAAGCCCAGCCATGAGAGGAAGGAGCGGCCGGCCGGGCTCTCCGTGCACTGGTCGGAGATGGACTTGGCGGTCTGCTTGGCCTGAGTGATGAGCTGAGCGAGGCGCAAGACCTGTGAGGGAGGCACACGTGGGTCAAGCACTGGCGGCCGCCCGGAGGACAGCGAGGCCGCGGGTGCTGCCCACAGCGCCCCATGTGCGGGGGGACGAAGCAGGGTCCGCTGCCCCATCCTCTCCCCCTCTCCCCCTCTCCCCTGAAGCGCGTGCCCCTGCCCCGGCTCTGCCGAGCCCACTCACCAGAGCGCGGACCTCGGGCCCGAACATCGGGGTGTACTCGCAGTCCTGGCCCTCCAGGCCGTAGACGTGGCTCTTCACCTTGAAGGAGGCATCCGTGACCGCGGGTGGCCATGGCGACAGGAAGCTGCCCGTGAAGGTGGGGGCTGTGAAGAGTCGGTGCTGGCGCTGGGGGATGACGAGCTCCGGCTCCAGGAACAGCTGCTCGCCTGGAGAGCAGGAGAGGAGTCTGGCCACGCCTTCTCGGGACGCAGGGGGCCTGGTGCTGCTGCCAGGCTTCCAGAAGTTTCCACGGGACTGTGACCATGCTGAGACCTGGCCAGCACCACCTTACCTCAGCTAGGGGCTGCCAGCTGAGCAGGAGCCAGAGGACCCCAGCAGTGCCAACGGGAAGACAAACACTAGCAGTGGGCGGCAGAAGCCTACACCCCACAGAGACAGGAGCACCGCAGGGAGCAGGCCCACCTCCCCGGCCACCACCAGCTGCAGGAGGCAGGTTCTAGAGGCTCTAGAGCTCGAGGCACTGCACCCCCCCCCGGCCCAGGGAGCTCTGGCCACAGGGACAGGGGTTCACCCAGGCTCAGAGGCTACAGTGCACTGAATTCCACTGCAGCCCTAGGCCAGCCTGCAAGCCTCAAAGGCAGCTCGGGCTCTCCCCAGCAGGGCAAGCAAGGCCTGCCGGAGGGCCCCGGCCGAGGACTCACCTTTCTGGATCATGTCAGCCAGGTTGGGCTGGGCGAACACTTTGGCCACTCTGAACACCATGAGCGCATTCTTGGGGCTGACCAGGTCTGTGCGCAGGGCACGGTTCAGGAAGCCCACGAACAGCTTGGTGTACATCAGCAGGTTCTCCTGGACAAAGGGCGCCCTGGGGAGCGGGGGAGGGGAGGCAGGTCAAGGCCCAGCCTGGCCAGAACCCTGCACTGGGCCATGCACCCGGGCCGAGGCTTCTCGAAGGTGTCAGGGATGGTGGCTCAGGGGGGAGAATGGAACCGAGGCAGGAAACACCTCGGCGCTCAGGACACTGGACCCTCAGCAAGGACACGACCCTTTTCTGAGAGGACCAAGGCCATGCTGGGTGTGAGAACAGCAGACGGACAGCTGGCGGCGGCCTGCAGGGGGATAGGGCGAGGCGGGAGCATGGGCGGAGCAGGGGCTCAGGTGACCTGTACACTCACTGGAGCCAGCAGGTCAGCCGCAGGACAGGGGGCGGGGCAGGGGTCACCACCACTTTCTTAGGGAATCCATTCCAGGACCCGACATTTTGGTCAAGCGTAGGCCAGCCTGAGTCCCTGCTCTGTGGGGCCTGGGGGAAGAGCCCAGGCGCCCCTGGCTCGGTGCCTGCTCACCTCAGCACGGGCTGAGGGAGCCGGCAGAGCCGTGGGGAGGCAAGGGTGCCGGTGCCGGTGCCGGTGCCGGGCTCACCATTTCTCTGAAACAGTGCGGGGCTGAGAGTCACTGCTTTGGGCCTGCTTCTCAGGTGCATACCTCCACGGCTGCAGGTAGCTCAGCCACATTTCCAGGACCTGGTGAGGGACATGTGTGCCCTGAGGACTGGGGGACAGGTGGCTGCAAGGAGGGGGCTCCTGGGCAGCAGCCTTAGCCGTGGGGCCAGGCTCTCCCAGGATGGCCAGGGCGGTCTGGCCCTCTCCTTGACCTCCGTGCACACACCAACGAGAGGGACATTTCTCACCTCCACACCAGAAGGCTCAGCCCTGTGACCTTTAACCCCCACGCGAGCACTTCAGGGGCCCGGAGGCTTATTGACCTTGTCTGGATCCCAGCCAGGTGAGGTGAGGCCCTGGCATGGCGGGACTCTCGTGTACAGGCAGCATGCCGTGGCCCGAGGCCCCTCTCCCAGGGCTCCGCAGCACCCACTCCCCTCCCTGGCCCGCCCCACAGCACCCCCTCACAAGGGTGCAGTAGGCAAGAGCAAAGGTGCGAGAGCACGGGCACTCACGGCTCTGAAGGATCGCGTCGAGGGGCCAGTGGCCAAAGCAGTGCTGCAGGAAGAGGTAGAGCTTCTGCTGGACGAACCTCGGGACGGCAGCCCTGCGGGGGCAGGAGGGACAATAGCCAGCGGGGCCCAGCTCCTGCCAGGCGCCCTGCGGGGGCAGGAGGGACACTGGCCGCGGGGCCCAGCTCCTGCCAGGCGCCCTGCCATGTGGGTAAGCCCCCTTCAGCCCATTCCTCAGGGGAAGCAAGCAAGGCCCAGAGAGATGAAGGGAACATCCCAAGGACACACAGCATGCTGGAGGCCAGGCCACTTGCTCTTCTGCTCCTGGCCTCCAGATGGCAAGGGGAGGCAGGGAGAAGGAGCCGCAGGATGGGGTCTCTGGCCAGCCAGGCTCCTCCGACCATAGCAGCAGTCGAGAGGGAGAAGCTGCTGGGCAGCCCCACCTGTCTCTGGGGAGGAAGCCGGGCCTGGTGGGAGAAGACAGGCCAGGAGGCTCAGGGGTGCTCCACCTGCCCAGGCCTCTGGAGGCCTCACCTCGGCCCCACACCAGGGCCCGGCCAAGGCTGCACCCACCTCTCGAACTCTTCCAGGGGGCTGGGGGCGTGCGAGTGGAGGCCTCACCTCGGCCCCACACCAGGGCCCGGCCAAGCCTGCACCCACCTCTCGAACTCTTCCAGGGGGCTGGGGGCGTGCGAGTGGAGGCCTCACCTCGGCCCCACACCAGGGCCCGGCCAAGCCTGCACCCACCTCTTGAACTCTTCCAGGGGGCTGGGGGCATGTGAGTGGCCCGCGGGCGATGCCTGCTCGGGCCTCAGGCTGCCGGCGAAGGCGTGCAGATGCTTCAGCAGCAGACGCACCACCAGCACGTGCTCCTCGGTGGGCGCGAACGACTCCTAAGGCAGGAGAGGAGGGGGTCAGGGCCCGGGTGCCTGCCTGGCCCTCCCCCAGCACCCTCCTATCTGGACTGAGCCGAGCCCAGCTCACACGTGAAGTGCACAGCTCACGCGGCCTGCCCTGACCCCACGACTGCAAATGCTTCCTAGCTTCCTGAGTCCTGCTTTCGCAGTGCACGGCTGTGTGCCCTTGGGCCCTGCCAGCCAGAGGACAAGGGTGGAGAAGGGGCAGGCCGGCATCCCAGCCCTGCTGGGGATCCAGGTATCTTGCCTGCCTTGCACAAAGCTCCTTGGGGCTCACCGTTTCTGCCGCCAAACTCCTCCAGCCACACCCTGACCCCTCCCACTTGCTGCCCCTCTTGGACACAGCTCAGCCCGGGAGCCTGGGGTGTCCCTTCCTGTAGCCTATGGACCTGACAGCAGCTGAAAACCCCCAAGACAAGAGCACATGGGGTTTGTGAGCCAACTTTTGATCTGCAGTGCACGGGGGGCATCTCTGAGGCCCACAGGGGAGAACACAGCCTTTTTGGCACCAATGGGGTGTCCAAGTGCAGATGGGAGTGGACGGGGCAGTGTCTCACAGCAGGACCTGGGACAGACTGCTCCTTTCCCACATGCAGGGCCCTGACACTGGCGACGCAGAGGCTGGCACGGGGCAGCCCACACGCAGGTCGCCACCAAGGCAGGGGCCACCCAGCCTCCGGGTCACAAAAATGCTTCCATAGGACCAGGTGACACCCGCCGTGGGCCAGTGGCTAAGTCTGAGGGTGGGGCTACGGGGGAGGGGTCCTTCTGTATTTCTAAGTCTCTGTGCAGCGAGTCTGCATTGCTTGTACGGGAAGGAGGCATGAGAGCCAGTGCCATAGCTGGACATCGAGGTGACCCATGCAACTGACAGGGGACTGGACAAAGGTCACCCAGACGGTGCGGGCCTGTTCAACGCCACTTTCACGGTCGCCTGCCACTGCGTGTCGCTGCGACACTGCCAGCAGGAATGAGGAGCCACATTAGAACATCTTTCTTTACAACTTACCCATGTGTGGTACGGTGTTACCAGGACAGGAATGGGCTAAGACATCCAACACCAGCACTCAACACAACACTAGCAGGGTGGCGGTGTCAGGGCCCGACCCTGGCTGGGATTCCGAGTGGTGACACCGTCCTTTTAGCTCAGGGCAGGAGAGGGCCCTGCCCCAGGAACTGGGAACGCACCTGACCCACAGGTCCTGCAGGAGCCAGCCCGGTCATCACAGGGACCCTTCGCCAGCCACCAGCCCCAGGGCTGCTAAGCCCTTCTCAACTCCCACTCCTCCTGGACCAAATTCCAATAGGTGGTCTCAGGCCGCAGACACACCTGCCTCCTCCTCAAGGCCGCGTCCCCAGAGCCGGCGCTTCCCATGGGGGCCCGGCCTCTCAGAGCTCTGCTCACACGCACTCCTGTGGGGGCTCTTCCCTCGCCTCTCCTGCCCTGGGGCGCCTTCCCAGGGGCCCTCGTCTTCCTCCCCGCCACAGCTGCTCATCTGGGCGCCACCACGCTGCCCCGAAACTCAGTGCCCAGCCGTATTTTCTCCTCTTGAGCTCATCTGCATGTGGCTTCCCGGAGTGGACTGAACGGACGCCGGGTGCGAGCACAGATCCCTTCTCTGTTCTTCACGAGACACCCGACAAGCCTGACCTCCATTCCACAGCCCCCAAGGCTGGCTACACACGTGTCCTTTCCGCCCCGGCAGGCCACACTCTCCATGACACCACTGCCAGCTCACACCCACCCCGGGAGGGCTCTGCGAGTAGCCAGGTCCCAGCGGGCCTGTGACACGCGTGGGCTCCGGGGCCGAGCTCTGAATCTGCCCTGCCCCCCGAGGTCTCTCCCCAGGCTCAGGGTCAGCTGCAGCCTCTGCACCACACCTAAGTCCCCGGGCCTCCTGGAGCACCCCACCCTGCACAGCAGGGGCGAGTCAGGCCACTGGCAAGGCCCGACTCTCTCCGCTCCCTCCATCCAGGGCCGAGTGCAAGGCCCTCCAACAACTGAGAATCTGTGATGCCTCCAGCGGCAGGGGGCCTGCTCAGGCTGCCTGTGACCCCACGGCCCTGCCTCACCCACAAACCAGGCTCGTCTGAAAAGCAGGGATCAGGCCTAGGCCCACCTCCCCACCACTGCACGGGCTTCACTTGTTTGGAAGCAATCCCTGAACCCCTGCTCTGCCCGGCCCTGACGTGCACTTGGGGCAGGTACGGGAAGGACACGAGAGCGGCCAGTACTTGGTAGGCGTGGAGGGCCTGGAGGCTGGGCTGGGCGGGGCTGTGGAGGGCGCTGGAGACACTGAGTCGGTAGTGCAGAACCTCCAGCTGACACGGCACACAGAAGCCCAGAGCAGAGGCCAGCGGCCAGGGTCAGGGTGGGGACGGGAGAGGGGTGGGGAGAGACAAGGTGGGGCAAGGGGAGAGAAAGAAACAGAAAGAGCCCAGAGTAAAGAGAAACAAAACAAAACAAAACAAAAGCACAATCAGTGACAATCCAAACAATCAGAGCCCCAGCAGCCTTGGCCAGCAAAGCACCACCCCTCGGGACCACGCAGACTCCGGGGCCCTCCTCAGCCTCACAGCAGAGGGCAGGACAGACCCTAAAGACCACCCGGTAGCCCCTCGATGCTGCTGGGCCCTGAACATCTCTGCAGCCTGGGGGCTGCCTCAACTCACTGCTCTTCCCGGAGGGGCCTGCTGAACAAGCTGCGGGCGCCAAGGCCCTAAGGCTGAGAGAAGAGAACTGTTGAGGAGCCGGTTCCAGGAGAACTGAGCCCGGACAAGAAACAAATACAGTAGGCCCTCGTGTCCTTGGGCTCCAGAGACAACCGACTATGGATCAAAACTGCTTGGGGAAAACCGCCTCTGCGGAACCTAAGCTTCCCGGGCTTCCCTGTCACCATGCCCTACAGGGCACGGAGTACACAGCATCCACGGGCGGCTCCCAGGCATCTAGGGATGCTTCAAAGTATGCGGGAGGATGAGTGTAGGACAGATGCAAATACTGCACTGCTTCCCGTAACGGACCCGAGCACCCACGGACCTGGCTGTCCACAGGGGTCCTGGAACCAGTCCCCAGCAGGTATCGAGGGACAAACACAGGCTCTGCTCACCAAGGCCCCACCCCCTGCCCTCCAGCCCTCCCATTCTGGAAATTCCCTAACAGTCATTACCAGTGCTGTGCCCACGGGCCCTAACTGGAAAGACAGCACTCCTGACTACCTGGGCCCCACCCTCCAGAGTCCCAGAGCTCTCAGGGGCAGGAGCCCTGGACAAGCTGCCACAGCAGCCACATGCTCCCAGAGGCGGCAGGAACCCTGAGCCCAGGACCCACAGCCCTACCTCCTTGCAGAAGCACCAGTCAGCTTAGCACAGCCAGAGCCAGCCTGGAGCACATGCTGCCCTGCGAGCGCCACGCCTCCTGGCCAGCCACAGCGCTTCGCACAGGAGCGGTCAGAGCACGCTTGCCAGAGGCGAGCAGATGCACAGAGCAGGGGTGGGAAGGGGCACAGCCTTCCTCTGTGCCAGACCCGGGGCTCCCCTGCTGTACTTAGGGAGGGATCAGGAGCAACAGTCACCCACCAGGTCTGTAACCTGCCGGAGGCAACAAGGGCCAGGGCCACCTTCACTGCCCACAGTCCTCTGGGGAGTGAGCATGTGCCATGGGCCCAGCCCGGCCACCACAGAGCTGCAATGCTTGCATCCAGAGACCAGCGCTGGGGGGAACTGGCAAGCATTTCTGTGAGGCAGGGCAGCACGGCCTGGTCACCAGCAGGGCCCTGGGCGGCGGGGGCCTCCACAGCGGTCCTTCCTCAGCTCTCACCACTTTCTCAGGGTTCAATTTTTTTTTTTTTTTTTAAGTAATCGGAATACAGGAGGCAAAGGGCAAAGCCCCCAAGGACACCCAGTACCCACCCATGGTCATTCTGAGCAGGTCTCACCCTCCCCGAAGTCTGGCCAAGAGGAAAGCGAAAGTGAAGATGAGTGAAAAGTGCTTTCTGCTCCGGCAGGCAGAGTCCCCAGCCCCTCCCGGAGCCCAGAGAACAGAGACGTCACAGGTGGACTTCTGGTTAGCCCTTCAGAGTGGGCTAACGAGGCAGAGTGAGCGGACAAGCGGACGGTGAGGCCCAGCCCCTGGCCGCGTGCACCGTTCAGGAACAGTGCAACTCTGCTCCAGCGGCACCACGGCACCGCGAGCCTTCTGTGACCCAGGACGCCCAGGTCAGAGTCCTCCGCTTTCCCCTCCTCCTCCTCCCCACCTGAGGCCAGCGGTGGGGCTCTGCGGGCACCCAGGCCTCTGCTCGGCCAGCAATGGGGCTCTGGGAAGGCGCTGCAGGGAGCAGCACCCTGCCTGGCCCCTGCTTCGGAGGAAGGCCACAGGCGCCCTTCTCAGGTTCACTCCTTCACCTGCAGCCCCTTCTCTCACGAGACAGCCCCACGAGCTGTGCCTGGCAGGAGCAAAATCCCGGTGTACTGAGCACACGGATGCAGAGCTCCGGCAGCGGCGCCCGGGGCCCGCGCTGCCCTGGCAGGGCGCGGTGCAGCAGTTCGCGCTGTCACTCGGCGTGGGGCTCTAACCACACATCTGGGTGCCCGCCTGGCCCTCAGGAACTCACTGAAGAACCTTTCTATCCTGGTGAGCCCTGTGGGATGCTGGCCTTGGGGACGGCGCCATCTCCACATGCCCCTCACACCGGCGTACCGTCCGAGGAGGAGGGAGGGGGAAAGACTGAGGAAACAGAGGAGGAGGAGGAGGAGGAGGTGGCGGCGGCAGGCCAGGCGCATGCAGGAAGGCACCAGCCCCTCCCACCACCACCAGCTCCGGTGGAGGCGTCGGGGAGGAGGGCGGGCAGCGCGGGCAAGCGAGAGGCTTCCAGGTCACCACCCTCCCAGAAGCATGAGGGCACTGCTGACGGTGGGGGCACACACCAAGCCAGGACGCCCAGAGGCATCAGCAACTCCCGCAGGCCCCCAGCAGGAGCACCACCAACTCAGCCGTTCCCGCCGCAGGGAGGGGCTCTGGAAGCCAGGCAGGGAAGACCCCAGGACCCAGGGTGCAAGCTCCTCAGAGCACCCCAGGGCACACCCACCCTGTCTGCCATCTGAGTGGGGGACGGAGGGCTCCTGCTTCCCAGCACCGGCGCAGGGAAAGCGCAGCGGCTGAGCTGAGCAGGGCCGGGGCAGACCAGAGCCCTACCTTGGCGTGCGGGGACTGCAGCTTCTGGTACATCTCCAAGGAGTAGTGATGAAGCCACATCTCCACAAAGACCTGCGACAGAAGCATAGCTGCTCAATCATCCTAAACAACAGTGCCACGGCCTTCCACAGGGGGCGCCCCACACACAGCGCTGGGAACACAGCACGTCCGCGTGGCAAAGAATGAAGCTGAATCCTTCCCTAAGACCACACACACAAATCAGCTCCAAATGGATCAAGGACCCAACTACAAGACTAAAACCATGCAACTCTTACAAGTAAATCGGGGGGAGGGGGGGCGGTGGCAATGTGGCGCAGCAGGTAAAGCCGCCGCCTGCAGTGCTGGCATCCCATATGGGCACTGGTTTGAGTCCCGGTTGGTTGCTCCACTTCCAATCCAGCTCTCTGCTGTGGCCTGGGAAAGCAGAAGATGGCCCAAGTCCTTGGGCCCCTGCACTCATGTGGGACACCCAGAAGAAGCTCCTGGCTTCAGACTGGCCCACCCCCGGCCATTGCGGCCATCTAGGGAGTGAACCATCTGATGGAGGACCTCTCTCCTTCTCTCTGCCTCTCTGTAATTCTGCCTTTCAAATAAAATAAATCTTTTTTCTAAAAAAAGAATATGGGAGAAAGAAAAACTTCACGGGAGCCAGCATTGTGGCACAGCAGGTTGTGGCGTAGCCTGCAGTGCCGGCGTCCTGCGTGGGTGCTGGTTTGAGTCCCAGCTGCTCCACTTCCAATCCAGCTCTCTGCTAATGTGCCTGGGAAAGCAGCAGAGGATGGCCCAAGGGCTGGGGCCCCTGCACCCACATGGGAGACCCTGAAGAAGCTCCTGCCTTGGGCCTGGCCCAGCCCTGGCCATTGAGGCCATTTGGGGAATGGACCAGAGGATAAAAGATCTCTCTCTCTCTCTCCACATTTCACATAAGGTTTTTTTTTTTTTTTTCTGACAGGCAGAGTGGACAGTGAGAGAGAGACAGAGAGAAAGGTCTTCCTTTTGCCGTTGGTTCACCCCCCAGTGGCTGCCGAGGCCAGCGTGCTGCGGCTGGCGCACCGCGCTGATCCGAAGGCAGGAGCCAGGTACTTATCCTGGTCTCCCATGGGGTGCAGGGCCCAAGTACTTGGGCCATCCTCCACTGCACTCCCTGGCCACAGCAGAGAGCTGGCCTGGAAGATGGGCAATTGGGACAGAATCCGGTGCCCCAACCGGGACTAGAACCCGGTGTGCTGGTGCTGCAAGGCAGAGGATTAGCCTAGTGAGCCATGGCACCGGCCATAAGTCTTTATAAATATTAAAATGAGGGGCTGGTATTGTGGCACAGCAGACTAAACAGTACTGGCATCCCATATGGGCACCAGTTCGAGTCCCGGCTGCTCCACTTCCAATCCAGCTCTCTGCTAAGGCCTGGGAAAGCAGTAGAAGATGGCCCAAGTGCTTGAGCCCCTGTACCCACACAGAAGACCTGAAGAAGCTCCTGGCTTCAGATCAGCTCAGCTCTGGCCATTGCAGTCATCTGGGGAGTGGAGGAGGACCTCTCTCTCTCTCTGTGACTCTTTCAAATTAATAAAATAAATCTTTAAGAAAGAAAAAAGGGGGGGCTGGAGCCGGGTTCTAGTCCCGGTTGCTCCTCTTCCAGGCCAGCTCTCTGCTGTGGCCCAGGAGGGCAGTGGAGGATGGCCCAAGTGCTTGGGCACCTGCACCCGCATGGGAGACCAGGAGGAAGCGCCTGGCTCCTAGCTTCAGATTGGCACAGTGCGCCAGCCATAGCGGCCATTTTGGGGGTGAACCAACAGAAGGAAGACCTTTCTCTCTGTCTCTGTCTCTCTCTCTCACTGTCCAACTCTGCCTGTCAAATTAAAAAAAAAAAAAAGAGAGCGAGAGAGAGAGAGAAAGACAAGCTTCATTATATTGGATTTGGTAATGATTTCTTGGATAACACACCAAAAGGAAAAAAAAAAAAAAAAGACCTCAGGACTTCGTAAAAACCAAAACTGCTACACATTACGAGACACAATCGGGGGCTGGCGTTGTGGTGCAGTGGTTTATGCTGCTTGCTATGCCAGCTCCCACATCAGAGCACCACCATGGTCCAAGTCCCAGCTACTACTCCCAGTCCTGCTTTCCGCTGTGTCTGGGGAGGCAGCAGAAGAGGGCCAACCGCGTGGGAGACCAGGGTGGAGTTCCAGGCTCCAGGCTTCAGCCTGGCCCAGCCTGGCTGTTGTGGGCATCTGGGGAGTGAACCAGAGGACGGAAGATATCTCTTTCTCTTTCTGCCTTTCACATAAATATAGCTTGGAAAAAAAAAAAAAAAAAAAAAAAAAGAGGGGCCGGTGTTTTTGTATGGAGGCTAAAGTCACCGCTTGCCACACTGACATCCTGTAAGAGCACTCACAGGGGCGCCCCAGCTGCTTCGCTTTCATTCACCTCCCTGCTAACGCACCTGGGAAAGCAGCAGCAGATAGCTCAAGGGCAGGGCCTCTGCACTCATCTGGGAGACCTGGACGGGAGTTCCAGGCTCCTAGATTCAGCCTGGCTCAGCCCTGACCATTGTAGCTATCTGGGGAGTGAACCAGTGGATGAAAGATCTCTCTGTCTCTCCCTCTCTTTCTGTGACTCTGCCATTCAAATAAATAAATGTTTGGAGAGAGAGATTGATCGATTGATTATCCGCAGAGTATAAAGGCACTCCAACAGGTGAAAATATTTGCAGAAAACATAAGCAATTAATGTCCAGAATATAGACAGAAATCCTAGAATTCAACAACAAAAACAACCAACCTGATTCAGGAATGTACAAAAATGACATTTCTCTAGAGGGGGAAAAGGCCACTAGACAGATGAACAATGCTTGACACTTCTAATCAGAAGACAAACACAAGTCAAAACAATGGGGCTTGTTAGCGTTTGGTCTGGTGGTTCTGATTCTGGTCGGAACACCCACGCCTCACACTAGAGGGCCTGGGTCTGGGGGCCTGGCTCCGCTCCCAATTCCAGCTTCCTGCTAACGCAGACCCTGGAGGCAGGGGGACGGCTCAAGTTGCTACTCTTGTCGCCCCTGTGGGAGATCCGGATTGAGTCCCAGCTTCTGGCCCAGACTCGGCTGCTGCGGGCACTTGGGCACGCTTGTGCTCTCTCTCAAAAAAAGGGGGAAATAGTGAAGATACCACTTTTCACCCACTGGGGTAACTATTATCCAAAAAAGCAGAAAAGCACAAGTGTTTCTGAGCACGTGGCAAAACCCTGTTAGTGAGAATATACAAAGGGTGGCCACTGAGAAGAGGGTGGGGGCACATCAAAAAGATTAAACCTCGAGTTACCACGGGGCCCAGCATCTCCACACCTAGGTATTTATTTTATGTGCACATTACCATGGTTAAAAATGTTATTAAAAAAAAAAATTTTGGCCCGTCACTGTGTTCTAGTCCTGGTTGCTCCTCTTCCAGTCCAGCTCTCTGCTGTGGCCTGGGAAGGCAGTGGAGGATGGCCCAAGTGCTTGGGCCCTGCACCTGCATGGAGACCAGGAGAAGCACCTGGCTCCTGCCTTCAGATTGGCGCGGTGCCGGCTGTAGCAACCACTTTGGGGGTGAACCAACGGAAGGAAGACCTTTCTCTGTCTCTCTCTATCTATATCTCTACCTGTCAAATTAAAAAAAAAAAAAAAAAATCTTTGGGGCCGGCGCTGTGATGCAATAAGTTAAAGCCCTGGTCTGAAGTGCCGGCATCCCTTATGGGCACCGGTTCTAGTCCCAGCTGCTCCTCTTCCAATCCAGCTCTCTGCTATGGCCTGGGAGAGCAGTGGAAGATGGCCCAAGTCCTTGGGCCCCTGTACCCGCACGGGAGACCTGGAAGAATCTCCTGGCTCCGGATCGGCACAGCTCCAGCCACTGCGGCCAACTGGGGAGTGAACCAGCAGATGGAAGATCTCTCCATCTCTATCTCTCTCTGTAACTCTTTCAAATAAATAAAATAAATCTTAAAAAAAAAAAAAAAAAAAAAGTTTGAGTGTTCTGGTCCGGGAAACAGACCTCTCCAACTTGGCAAAAAGCACAGCGTCTCGCACACAGGTTGTGCGAGTTAAGAGAGAGAAACCCCACCTATCCACCTCCCAGGCTGTCAACAGCGAGGCGGTGGCTTCTCCATCAGCATCAGAACCTGGGAGGTGGCCAGTGCTCGGGACAGTATGGCTCAGGGAGGGAGCCAGCCCACGCCCGTGTGAGAGGCTGGGGTCGCTGAGGGCATACAGGACTCTGCCACCTCCTATTTAGATGCCCTGACCTGGAAGGGCCAGGAGCTCCAAGCCAGCTAAGGTGGAGGCTTCACGGGTCCCCTGCCTTGGGCAGAGCTTAGGATCCACAGGATGGTGACCACAGGGAAACACCTGTCATGGCACTGGAGAGGACTAGAGGGGCAGGCTGCAGGGGACAGCATTTATATGGATCCACTGGAAACTAGAAGACCGATGACATCACTGGGAGAAGAACAAAACACGCTCCACAGACAAGAGAGTCGGGGTTGAGAAGCAGACAATGACACACAGCTTAGACATGTGGGCAAAGTCTTCTCATCTGTCTCCTATACATCCCAACAGGAAAATACCAACGGTTCAGAGCTACCCTGGAGGCCGACGGGCCGTCTTTAGGCTCCACCCCCACGTGGAGGAAGGCCTGGACAGCAGCCTCCTTGGCGCTCACCTGCAGCAGAGTTTCTGACCTCCAGATTTCGTGGGAGGCAGGGTCTGCGTTCACAGACGTCTGGTGAGAAATGTGTCGTTTCAGGAGGCTGGTGTGGTGGAGGCCGTAGGAGGCGAAAGGCATGGCTGGCGTCCTGAGGGAGACACAGAAACAGCCCTGAGCTGGCGGCTACACTGGCCAAGCCCACGGGCAATCTGGACATCAAAATCAACAACCAGGGCCAGCGTTGTGGCATAACAGGTAACGCTGTCGCCTGACGTCTGCATCCCATAGGGGAACCGGTTCAAGTTCCGGCTGCTCCACTTCTGACCCAGCTGCCTGCTCATGTGCCTGGGAAAACAGTGGAGGAAGGTCCAAGTGCTTGGGTCCCTGCCACCCATGTGGGAGACCCAGAGGAAGTTCCTCGTTCCTGGCTTTGGCCTGGCCATTGCAGCCATCTGGAGAGCAGATAGCTCTCTCTGTCTCTGCCCCTTTCTCTCTGTAACTCTCTCAAAATACATACAGAAATCTTTTTAAAAAAAATCAACAATAGCAGTAATTGAGTACGCATGTTTGAGCTGCAGGACTCCCAGGTCCACACTGATACACTTGAAAGAGCCAAGAGCACCCACTAAGAAACCTAGAAAATCAGCATTTAGCAGCTGCTCTGCTAAGAATCAGCAGTAGATGCTGACACACAATTACACTCTGGACTTTTCTTCCTATTAAATTCTCAGTGCTGCTGGCGCCGTGGCTCAACAGGCTAATCCTCCGCCTAGCGGCGCCGGCACACCAGGTTCTAGTCCCGGTCAGGGCGCCGGATTCTGTCCCAGTTGCCCCTCTTCCAGGCCAGCTCTCTGCTGTGGCCCGGGAGTGCAGTGGAGGATGGCCCAAGTACTTGGGCCCTGCACCCCATGGGAGACCAGGATAAGTACCTGGCTCCTGCCTTTGGATCAGTGTGGTGGGCTGGCCACAGTGCGCCGGCTGCGGCAGCCATTGGAGGGTGAACCAACGGCAAAGGAAGACCTTTCTCTCTGTCTCTCTCTCTCACTGTCCACTCTGCCTGTCAAAAATAAATAAATAAATAAATTCTCAGTGCTAATTAATTTAGGCACAAAGTACTGATTTAACTCGACGGTGGAAAAACCAGTGACAAATCCCCTAAGTCCAGAGGAGGAGGTTCCTGCTGAGACGCCTGGGAAGGAGCCCAAGTGACCACTGTGGTGCTCCCGCCCTCCAGGCCCAGGCTAGGCCTCATCGTGAGCAGACGGACAGCAGAGAGTCCTAGGAAGGAAGAAGCCACGTGCACGGACATGTGCGCCTGCCTGCACGCTTCCCGGGGACCCCAGGCCCCAAACATTGGGGGACCACTCCAGACTGCAGGGCACCAGAGAGAGCAGCGCATGCAGAAAGCAAGCTAGTGCTGGGCCTCAGCCGGCACCAGGCTTGAGTGGGTGAACACAGGGAAACCCAAGTCGAGGCCTGAGGGACACCTGGCCACAGTACCAGGAGTCCTGGCAGTGGGCAAGGGCTCACCTCTAGGAAATCACTCTCCAAAACAAAGAGGTCATGGGGCGCCACGTTCATCACTGACTCAAATGGTCGGGGCAGGGCTGGGGGGCGGGTGACATGCAGTTCAGATGAGAAAGAAGATAGGAGGCAAGAGAGGAGGCAAAGTGCCAACAATGCAGAAATCTAGGTGGAGGGGCTACAAAAGTTCTTTACATTATGCATGACAACTTTTCCCTAAACCTAAAACTGTTGCAAAATGAAAAGTTAAAAAAAAAAAAAAAAAAAAAAAAAAGAACCAAACAAACCAGGCAACTGAACTCTGCCTGAGCGCATGAATCCACTGCACCTATAGGTCCTCCTCACTGGCCACAGCACCACCAAGTGTCAGGGCCACCAGCCATGGCTGAAGCCCAGGGAGCCTCTGCCCTCCCCCCTCCCTGGGAGCATCTGTCCACAAAGGTGAGTTTTGGGGCCTGGTGCACACATGCCAGGATCTGCAAGCAGGTGCCAGCCAGTACAGTGGGGGGAGGGGTCAGAGGTGCACAGGCAGCTGCGGCCAGGCAGCAGGGGCTCCTGGGAGAAAACAGCCATGGGGTTCTGCACTAAGGGCCCACCGAGGCCTCAGTGCAGCCAGGCACGAGAGGCCCCCAGTTCACACCCTCACTGGCACAGTCCAGCACCTGACCTGGTCTGCGCGGCCCGGCACAGAGGGTTCCTTACTCCAAGCCCCTCCCTCAGCCCACACAGATTCCTATGGCTCCTTTCTGTCCACAAGACAGCCCTCGGGCCCTCCACCTTGCTCACTGCCTCAGGGCGACAGAGACACCGCCTGTGGGGAGGGCTACTGGAGCCCATTCGCACACCCCAGCAAGGCTTCATCAATGAAGCCAGACACTTGACAGCTTCCACGACGGCCAAGGGCCAGACCTTCATGGCCAGGGAGACCTTACCTGGGAGCTGGCGAGGGGCTGGCGCCCCCTGGACTGGAGGACAGCGGGGGAGGCACACTGCCTTCGGTGGGCAGGAACCAGGACAGGTATCTGTCCACCAGGATGAAATAGGCACAGTCTGAAGTACGGATGTGCAGGGACACGGGGAGTGGCTAAAAATCCAAGCTCACAGTTAGTGTGGGCTCCGGGCACCTCCCTGGCCGCCGCTGAGCACCAGCAGCACAGGGAAGCCCCAGGCCACTGACCCCGCCTCCTTCCCAGGGCTCCACACCGAGGCATCCCTTCCGCACCTTTTGAGTGATGAGGCTCAAGGCAAAGAAGAATATGTAGTACTCGAACGGATCTGAGGGCACCATCAGGAGGCAAACGCACAGGGAGTCCGGCCACTGTCCCAGGGACACGCTGGGCCATCCACAACCTCCCCCGCCTCAGGGTCACCAAAAGGATACTGAGGGCCAGGTTCAGACCAAGGCCGCCGGTGGCTGGAAACTGGACCTTGTTGTGGTACAGAGGGCTGTCGGGGAGGACACGCTCCTGGATGGATGCCTTCACAGGGCCCTGCAGGGAGGAAGATGGGCTCTTGGGCGGTTACAAGCATGGGGCCCTGCGTGTGGTGCTGCCCTTTGGAAGGGACCAGCACATAGAACCTGCCAGAATTTCTATCAGCCTCATTAAAAATATACAAACAGGGGCTCTGTGCGGTTGGCGAAGTGGTGACGACACTGCTTTTGGACACCCACATTGCATATCGCAGTGCCTGGGTTTGCGATTCAGCTCCTCTTCCCAATCCAACTTCCACTAATGCTCACTCTGGGAGGCAGCAGATGATGGCTCGAGTACTCGGGTCCCTGCTGCCCACAAGGGAGACCTGGATGGAGTTCCACGCTCCTGGCTTCAGCCTGGCCCAATCCCTACTCTCGCAGGCATCTGGGCAGTGAACCAGTGAATGGAAGATCCCTTGCAACATCTATTTCTCTCTCTCTCTGTCTCTCATTCTCTCTGTTGCTCTGCCTTTCAAATAAATAAAGATAAATTCAAAACAAAACAAAAAACCAAGCAGCCAGGGTCATAGCTTTGTGTTTTTGAGTTCCGGTTCCTTTGCTTCTCATACCCACTAAGTCACACCTCAATTTGCTCTGAGGGACAGGAGACTTAGAAGAGCAAAGCAACATGCCACAGGGCCCCGTCTGCCACTCGGCCAGCAGCCAACTCGAAGGCACAGCACCTTCTCCACCGGCAGAGTCTGGAATGATCTTTAAACAAAAGTAGCTGCCGAAGTTCTAATCTATGATGCCTCCAGGGCCCCGAGAGAACACCAAGGCCTTCCCCTGCTCCCTGTCACTGCCCAAGTGCCACTCTCCCCACCAGGGCTTACTTACAGGCAGGTAGGAGACGGGAAAGTCAAACTTGTAGTCTTCAGCTTGAAGTTTATAAACCAATTTCATCATTGGACCACTGAAGATGAAATCCCACAAAGACAGGACAAAGAAATGCATTGCAAACGCTCTTGCTCTGATGGTGTCTTAACTTTCAAGAAACAGAGTGATTTCAACACTGGATCACCACGAGGAAGCACCCAGCCCCTCTCGGGAACAAACCACCTACCCGGGGTCGAGGAATTCCATGGCAATGCTGTACTCCACAGGGTTCACACGGCCCTGCAGGCAGCGCAGGTTCCAGCCAACGAGGATGCCATCCAGGCTGCCAAAGATGCTCTCTACCAGCCACGGGAAGATGGTGTGCAGCTCCTGCAGCGGCAGGTACTGGGCTGCAGGCAGGCCCAAGACCACTGCCCATTCCCACCCCAGCTCCGGTTCTGCCCCATGCGCTGCCCACCTCACTCGGAAGAGGTCACTCCCTTGTAAGGGACCTACAAGTCCTGCATCCGCAGGTCCCCTGCTGTGGGGCTACACAGCACACGAAGTAGCGCCTCTATAGTTGGGCCAGTTAAAGAAAACAGCCTTTAACATACTGGGCCAGTGTTGTGGTGCAGTAGGTTAAGTCATCTCTTGCAATGCCAGTTTCCCACACTGGAGTACCAGTTCATGTACCGCTTACTCTGCTTCTGATGCAGCTTCCTGACAACATGCTTGGGAGGGCAGCAGGGGACGGCTGAAATGTTTGGGCCCCTGCCACCCACGTGGGAGACCCGGATGCAGTTTCTGGCTCCTGGCTTTGGCCTGATTCAAACCTGGCTGTTATGGTCATTTGGAGATGATGAAAGATCTCTCTATCTCGTCCTCTGTCACTACCTTGCAAATAAATAAATATTTAAGGAGGGGGGAGGGGCTAGGGAGAGAGGGCCAGCGTTGTGGCACAGCAGGTTAGGCGTCCCATATGAGCGCTGGTCTGTGTCCTATCTACTCCATTTCTAATTCAGCTTCCTGCTAATGCACATGGAAAAGCAGTCGAGGATGGCCCAAGTGCTTGGCTCCCTGCGTCCATGCTGAAGACCCACAGGGAGTTCTGGGCTCCTGGTTTTGGTCTGGCCAAGCCCTGGCCATTTGTAAAAATTCAAGGAGTGAATCAGAGAATCAAAAATCTGTCTCCAATGTCTGTAACTCTGCCTTACAAATAAATAAATGAAATTTTTTAAAAACCAGAAACTTTTGATCTGAAGAAGGAATTTTTTAAAAAGGGTGGCAGAGCAAGCCTTGAAGTACAGTAGGTTAAGCCTCCGCTTACAATACCACATCAAGAATAATACCACATCAAGAATTAGAACGCTGATTCAAGTCTTGGCTGCTCTGCTTCCAATATAGCTTCCTGCTAATGCGCCTGCGAAAGCAGCAGAGGATGGCCCAAGTGCTGGGGCCCCCGTCACACACACTGGAGACCCAGATGGGGTTCCTGGCTCCTCACTTCAGCCTGGCTCAGATTTGGTTATTGATCTGTGTTGTTCTCTGTCTCTGTTGCTCTGCCTTCCACATAAAGTAAATATTAAAAAACCAAAAACACAAACAAAAGAAGGTGGACAGAGAATCAAGCCTCCTGAAACTATGACCTACTGTCCTTTGAGACTGACCCCTGTCCAGGGCAGCTTGCTGGGCTTGACAAATCCAGGTGTGACCAAAATACTATTTTGGGGATTTCAGTCAGAATTCCTTTTGGCACTGCTGACATTTTGAGCTTTTTTTTTTTTTTTTTTTTTTTTTTTTTTTTTTTGCAGGGGACTGTGTATTGCAAGACATTGCCAGCATCCTTGGCCTCCACCCACTAGAGATGTGTAGGAACGTACAAGACAGGCCCGAGAGAGAGACGCTGGCAGAGCCATACCTTGGCTGGAAAATCCTCAATGACTTTAACCAGGTCTTGGCATCGCTGTGCAAAGGGCTTGTTTATAGAGTCAGCTTTCAAGCTAGCCTAGAAGACAGAACACAGCAAAAATATTTTTTTTAAAAAATCATACTTGCTCTGCCAACTTCTGCTTATATTCTAGCTGAAATCAAAACAGAAGTCCAGAGAGGATGTTGTGGCACAGCAGCTTATGGCCCCTTGTGACTCCTGCAACCATATCTGAGTGCCTGGGATTGGGTCCTGCCTCGTCTTCCCGTTCAGCGCCCTGCTAATGTGCCTGGGAAGGTAGTGGTTGATGGTTGAAGTGCCACCCGTGTGGGAGACCTGGAAGACGCTCCTGGCTCCTGACTTTGGATCAGCGGCCATTGCAGCCATCTGGGGAGTGAACCAGTGGATGGAAGACCTCTCTCTCTGTCTGTCTGTCTGTCTCTCTCTCCCCAGGGCTGGCTGATGCCTTCTCCTTCAAGGGAAGATTGCACAGGGCCTGACTCAGGGACACAGCCCTGGGCTCTTCGAGCCATTAGCTTGAGACAGGTCACTGTGGAAGAACGGCCCTCCGGTCCATGTTTATAAAAATATCTCTGGACACTGAAATCAGAAAACATCGTCACCAACACCCGCCTCACCCCTAACTCCTCAGCACCATGTTTCCCATGGTGCCCCCAGCAGGGCTCCTCCACCTTCCACTGACTAGATAAGACACGAGGACACTGGAAATGCACAGGGATTCACAGGCCACGAACACCCTGACAGATCCTCACTCGCTCCTCCCCATGGCCTCGGAAGTGAAGGAAGAGGCACTGAATCAACTCTCCTTGTAGGTAAGGGAGCCAGCGTTCCGAGACTGAACCAACCCAAGGTCTAAACTCATACGGAGGCAAAGTCAGTCAAGCTTAGGGATTCTAATTCCTAGGCCAGTGTTACTTCTATCCCATGACCCTGCAAAACAACCAGCAGGAGAGTTCTTCAAACGAGTGCAGAGAGCTTTCAAATCTCTCAGCTTCGGAACACTCTCGCGGGCGGCAGCTGATACTCACAAGTAAGAAGCTGGGTTGCTGTAGGTGAGGGAACGCCATAGCAGCCTCCCGTGGAGGGTCAGAAATGGTCACCCCAGAAAACCACTGCGGGGAAACAAAGACGAGATCTCAACTATCACGTGGTTAGGAACAGCCGGGAACTCATCACACTGGCTACGGAAACGTCAGTCGCATACAGTCCACGGGGCCAGCTTCAGAGTTGCCCTGTGGAGGCGAATCCTTGGCACTGCTGGTACAGCGCCTGCCAGGACTGTTCTGAGGGCTTGCCACCTATTTCTTCATCTAATCCTCAGTGGGAGGCAGAATTCTAAAAAGATGGCCCGCACCACCCTCCCATGGCCCTCAAGAGTCTTGTCTCCTGGTTATGCACTCACTCAGGACCGCTTTGAAGGGATCTTTGCATTTTCAATGAAGTCCCCAGCTCCACGAATCCCAGGGACTGGATCCCGCCAGCAAGCTGAAGGCGCGTGGAAGCAGACTCTGCCCTAGAGCCTACAGACCCACGCAAAGCCTCCAGCATCTGATTTCAGGCCAAAGCAGAAAAGCCTGCCGACTGCACCTGGGTTCCTCACTACGCGACTCTGGGTAACTGCTTTACGCTGCTAAGCTTGCTAAATGAGACAACGCATGCTCACAGCAACCCTTGGAGACGAGCAGAGGAGGAAATGATGGCAGAAAGGCAATGGGGCCTCAACCCAGCTAGCAAACGGCAGACCCAAGATTCAAATAAACAAGCCTCCTCATAAACCTCTCAACTCTCAGGCCGGTCAATCTATCAGGCCGTGAGAAATCAGGAACAACTCCCGAGATTCCTGTCTCTGCCCACCCAGGTCAGAAACGAGGCACGTGCAGACTTGGACAGGGCAGAGAAGCCTGCCAAGCCCCACTGACGACACGCTAACGAGTCTTCACGGCACCGCTCTGCCGATCACAGGAGGTAAGGCAAGTGGCAACTGACAGTCCACGTGTAAGGAGAAAGAAAGCTTTGCGGGCAGCTATGGGGCTGACAGTGTCAGAACCTGCCAGGCCGTCAGCACACAAATAGTTAACCTTACCCCTGGCAACCCTGAGGGGAACCAGAGCTGTGAGGCAGCAGTTGAAGCTGGCCTGTGGGCATCCCATATGGGTGCCGGTTCAAGTCCAGATCCCTGCTAAGGCACCTGGGAAAACAGAAGAGGATGGCCCAAGTGCTTGGGCCCCTGCACCCACGGGGGAGACCTGGAAGACGCTCCTGGCTCCAGATGCTGTAGCCATTTGGGGAGTGAACCAGCCGGAGGAGGACCTATCTCTAACTTTGCCTTCCAAATAAAATAAATAAATCTTTCCCAAGAAAAAGAACGACCCTGAGGACGTCAGGATGAAATTTCATGGCCTAAGAACCTGCCGGCTCTGGCTCTTACAGCCACACCCCTGCCTGGGACATCCTGAGCTGGTTAAGCACATACACTAAATTGTCGACCTTGATAAACACCTGTCAAAGGGGTCTTCTGCCCGTTTGGACCCCATCACCACCACCACGGTAGAGGATGTGGGTCTCTGCGCGGCCCCATGGCCGCCTCCCATTGCCAGGGAACCCGAGTCTCTTCTCAGACACCAGCCCCCGCCCTGTTGTCTTAGTGACTCTTTCCTTATCCCCTACAAAGTTGCCTTCAATAAAAGTCTTTTCTGCTTTGAAGTGGCCGCTTCCTTGACTTCTTAGAACCCCCCCCCCCAAAAAAAAGCCTATGCCTAGAACAGAGAGGAGACACAGATCTTTGCTAGCTAGCAAACAGACACGTCCTAAGGGTTTTCAGTTCTTAACTAGCCACCCATATCCGTGGAAAGGAAAACTTAAAATGCCTTAGCCCTGATCTGCTTAAGTCAAGAGAACACGCTAGGCTGCTCCAAAGTGATCAAAGCCTGATAGGACTTTGGAGCCCCGGAAGGAAAAGACCTCTTCGCCCAGAGGGCCCTCATCACAGGCAGTGGCTGCAAGAATGGGGCCCAGAGACACGCACCCAAGAAGCAGCCTGTGCCTCCCGGACCCCCGGCCTCTGCCCTGCCATGGCCACTCTCCCCGGCCACACCTCTCCCTCAGCGCGCCACGCGCCGCGCGTTCGCTGCACGCCGCTATTTCGACACCCACTTTTTCCCCAGAAGCCGCTTCGGCCCCTGTTCGGGGGGTTTCGTGTGAGGACGACCCTCGGGCTTGGAAGGCAATCGTGCCAAGCAAACCAGCCAAGTCGCTGCTCTTCAAGCAGCGGCAGCGTGTCCCCGTGGGTGGCTCAGAACTGTCCTGTGAAGCGAGTGGGGGCCCCCCTGTTCCACGTGAGAAAACTGGAGCCTCGGGTAAACCGAGTCACGCCGGGCAGGAGCTGGGCCGGGAACCTGCACCCTCCGATGCCGCTCGTTCCTCCCTCAACTCGTTCAACGAACGTTCACCGAGCACCTACCGGCCCTGGAAGGGCTAGCCGCGGGGGAAGGTGGCAGAAAAACACGCCCCAGAACGGTGGCATGAGGCCGCGGCTGTGGCCGCGGCCACGGGGCCGCCCCGCCGGCCCGGCCTGGGCAGAAACGCCGGGGCCCGCCCGAGTCCCTGGGCTCGCGGAGGGACCGAGACGGCCTAGGCCGCAGCGACAGGAACCCGCTCGGGCGCGAGGCCGTCTCGTGCGCAGCTCTTACCCTTTACTCACCTGTGGGAGCCCGAGCGACGCTCGCCTAGGGAGTTGGAGCCGCCATTCAGCCACCCGGCGCTGAAATGTCGTCATCAAGCTGCGCGCGCTGTCACGGCTCTTTAGCCGAGCGGGAAAAGTTTCCCCCGCCTACTTCCTCTAAAGGCGCGTGCGCAAAGAGAAGGCCCGCCCCGAGGAGACGAGCGACCGCCGAGTGCGCGTGCGCAGTGCCGCCATCCGCGCCCCCTAGTCGTCAACGCGCATTTTATCCGCGGCAAAAAGTGCGCATGAGCGGAAGCAGAAACCGTTAACTCGATCGATCCCGGCGTGCTCGACCCCCGGCGCGGAACAGACAAGTACGCGCTACATTGAACGCCCTTTAGCCTATGGGCATTTATTGAGCGCCCACTGTATGCCAGGCAAGCATGACCTGCTCCTCGGGGAGTGGACTTCTGCGTCCCTCCACAGCAGCCCCCCCACACTCCTAAAACACTGCCTGGCAGGTAGCAGGAGCTCCACAAATGTCCGGGGGCTCCAACCACGACATGGAGGTCGCCCTGGGTTTCTGCCCTCCCGCCTAGGGGCCTGCTTGTGGCCCGGATGTGCCGGGGCCGCGGCGGGGCACGGCAGGCGGTAGAGGGCGCTGTGGCGGCGCCTGGGGGCGGACCCGGGTGGGAACGCGCGGGATCCCAGCGCTCACCTTCTTCCCTGCGGTACAGATGGCGTCTGCAGCTGCGGCGCCGGCGGGCGCGGGTCCCGGCTCTGGGGCGTGCACCGGGCTGGAGGCGGCGACCCTGCAGAAGCTCGCGCTGCGGCGGAAGAAGGTGCTGAGCGCCGAGGAGATGGAGCTGTACGAGCTGGCGCAAGCGGCCGGCGCCGCCATCGATCCCGACGTGTTCAAGTGAGCGGCGCGGGTCCGGGGGCTTCGCGCTCGGCTGACCCCCCGCCCCCACCCCCAGACTCGCCTGCGCTCCAGGCCCCCTCCCGGCTCGGGCTTGCTGGTCCAGGAGAGACCCCCACCCTCACCCCTGGCTCTTGAGGGGCCCTGGTGGCTGCGCAGGGGCGAGGGCTCACGGCGCCCCGCATCTGTCCTCGCCAGGATCCTGGTAGACCTGCTGAACCTGAACGTGGCCCCGCTCGCCGTCTTCCAGATGCTGAAGTCCATGTGTGCCGGGCAGAGGCTGGCGAGCGAGCCCCCGGACCCCGCGGCCCTGTCTCTGCCCGCATCAGGCGTTCCCGAAACCCGAGGTCAGAACCCCTGGGGGGACAGCGGTTGCCGGGTTGGCAGGGAGGAGGGTGGGTTTGGCCCCGAGTGGCCAGGCCCCTGTGCCCTGGCGTCATGGATAACCCTTGCACGTGCACCTGCAGATCAGGTGGTCGTAGTGTGGGTGTCCCCAGGCTAGGGCCCAACTGCCCCAGGCACATCCTCACTCCTGCTGTCATGTCTCAGACTCAGGAATAGACCTGGTTTCTGGTCCCTGTCCCTTCGCCATCGGTGCTGATGTAGAAGTGCTTAGGGGGCAGGGCAGGCACAAGCCTTCTTGGCACCCCCTCACCTGGACCCCACCCCGGCCCAGCCCTCCGGCTCCCCCAGGCAGAGTGCGGGGGAGGGGAGCACAAGACCCCCGGCGTCCCAGGTTTGAAGGGCTCCCTCACTGTCACCGCCCTGACCGGGGGATGAGCAGGTGCTGGTGACGTCGACTGTGACTGGCTCCAGCTGTTCCTCCTGTGCGTTGCTGCTGCTGCTGCTGCTGCTCGGGTCATCCTTGGAACCTCCCCAGCAGAGGGAACGGGGTCCAGGGCCAGCTCCCACTGCCTGGCAGCACCCAGACACCCTCCCAGGTGTCCCGAGGAGGGGCAGAGGGCAGGCCGGGGCCCCTGTGGGGGGAGTGGCCAGGGCTTGGGGCACCTGTGCACCTTGCGCTGAGCGAGAGGCCCCAGGCGCCTGCCCGCGGCCCTCCTCGCTGACCCATGCTCTGTCTGCTCTCTTTGTGTCTCTCTCTGACCTCCAGAGGCCTCCTTCCCCTCTGCCAGGAACAGTAGCCCCCCGGCAAGGCCCTCCTTTTCCTCGGCCCCGCGGCCTGCGGCCTCTCCGGCTCTGCTCCTCGGCCCAGCTGCCACGCCCTCGCCTCTCTCTCCGGGGCCCCCTGCTCCCCTCCGGTTCTCTTGCTGCCTGTTCTCTCCTTTCGCAGGTCGCGTTCATTGGCTTCTCTCGGGGTGGGTTGGTGCCCTCCAGTGTCTGTGCAGAGTGCCAGAGCAGCCGTGAGCCCCGAGCCCACAGGACCACACGGGCCGGCCTGGCTTGGAGGCTGGGCACGGTTTCCGGCTCGGGTTGTTGTTGGAGGCACGGTCCTGTAGGCCTTGCAGAACGTGCAGCCTGCCTGGCATCGGGGGTGAGACCAGCACCCCTGCACCCCAGAGGCTGCCTCTGGAGTGAGGTTGGCCCGCTGTCCAGTGCTCTCCCCTCTTCTGGGTGGGGAGGAGGGGAGGAGGGCAGGCCAGGGGTGGGGTGAGGCAGGGTGATTCTCAGAAGCTGTCCGCTGCCTGGATGGTAAGTTTGCCTCCTTCGAGCCTCCTGGGCAGCATCTTGTGAATGTCGTGGAAGACACGGTCAGAAACTTGAGTCCCCTCCTGTCTGCTTCGTCATCGCCAGGTGTTAATGATGGTGGGCACTGGAGCGAGCGGTGTGTGGGAGCCCAGGGCTGCTCTGGTTGCACACACCATGACCTCCCCACAGTGTCCACCTCCTGGTCCCCCCCAGGGTTTGGGCCGCGGGCTGAGCTGGCTGTAGGCTGGGAGGAGGTGTTGCGGGGTGTTCCTGGAGCTGGGAGTCCTCATCCTTGAAATGATGCTGCTAGCTTGGCAACCCTGGGTGCCGGCACCGAGAGCACCACGGAGGGTTGAGGTGGCCGCGCTGCATCCATGGTGGCACTGACTAGTGCTCAGTCCCGGAAGTGCTTAGAAGTCCAGGACACAGGATCTGGAGGCTCCAGGGAGATGCCCAGTGCGGGCAGAGGGGAGCCCCAGGAGGCAAGGAGGTTGGAACTGTGCCAGTGCTGGGGCCAGCAGGCAGGCAGGGAGGTCTCGGAGGCCTGTGTGTCACCACATCCGGCCACTCAGGCTGTGCAGCAGAATCTGGGGTGGAGAAAACCCAGGGAGCAGTCAGAGTGACCCAGCTGGAAGGGATGTGATGGCCCAGCATGACCGTTGGGGGTCTGGGATCACTGGGGTTAACCGCCCATAGGATTCCCACGGGACTCAGGGCGTGGAGCTGCCCCAGGCCTCAGACTGGCAGCCTGCTCTGGGACTTGATAAACTACAGCAGGCATGATGGAGCCTTCTGGATCCCTGGCCCCCAGCCATCCAGAGAATGGGGTGGGGCAGTTAGACCACAGAAGCACAGAGGGACAGTGAGACTGTGCAGTCATGGAAGGGCAATTAAAGTCCCGTTGGGGGTTTCCTGTTTAGAGAAATCACATGTCTTTGCAAAGGTGTCTGTTCAGGACGCATAAGGTGAAAGTTGAGTGAGTGGAGGACGTGTGGAATCTCACAGGAGCTGGGCCACAGGCTGCACGTGGCTGGCGTGGTGCAGACACGGCATGTGGGCAGGCACACACTGGATCCCCGAGAGATGCTGGGGAGTGAAGGGAGTGCCTCGTGAATCATTTACATCCTGCTGCCATGCTGAGATGAAAACACAGTTGCTTAAAGGGGAGTGGGTCCAGAACAGCCCCTCAGATGCTAAAATCTCTACATGCTCAAGTCCCTTACATGAAACGGCCCAGCCTTTGCAAATGCATCGCCCCACAGACATTACTGTTACTAGAGAGGCAGCTGCCATCCTGGCCCGGGCACCAGGTCTCCCACGTGGATGGCAGGAACCCAGCTCCTTGAGCTATCGCTGCTGCCTCTTGGTCTGCATTAGCAGGAAGCCGGAGTCGGGAGCCAAAGGCCTGTCAAACCCGGGCACTGGTATGGGATGGGGCATTCTAACCAATGTCTTCATCACTAGGCCAAGTGCTGGCCCTACTTTTTGGTAGGCTTTATTTATTTACTAAAATATTTATTTGAAAGAGTCACAGAGAGAGGGAGAAATACACACAGAAAGAGACCTTCCATTTGCTGGTTCTTCCCCAGATGGCTGCAGTGGCTGGGGTTGGGCCAGGCAGAAGCCAGGAGCCTGGAACCCCATCCAGGTCTCCCATGGAAGATGGACTTGGGCCACCTTCCACTGCTTTCTCAGGTGCATTAACAGGGAGCTGGATCGGAAGTGGAGCAGCAGAATTTGAACCACTGCTCACATGGGATGCCAGTGTTGCAGGTGGTGGCTTAACCTGTGCCACAACACCAGCCCCACTTTTATTTCGTAAAGATTGATTGATTTCAAAGGTAGAGTTAGAAAGAGATCTTTCATCTATTGGTTCACTCCCCAAATGGCCACAACAGCTGGGTCTCCCACGAGGGTGGCAGGGGCCCAAACACTTGGGCCATCTTCCGTTGCTTTCCCAGGCACGTTATCAGGAATGCTGGATCAGAAGTGGAGCAACCAGGACTTGAACCTGTGCTCATAGAAGGTGCCACACCTTAACCCTCTGCACCACACCAGCGCCGCTGGTAGACTTTTAATTGCTCACGATGCCTGATACAATGAAAATGTTATGTAAGGGTTGCTTTACTCTGGGTGAGGGGATAATGGCAACAAAGAGATGTGTGCATGTTCAGGACACAGCTGTTTTTCTGGATGTTTCCAAAACACACTTACTTGAATCCACAGACACAGAATCCATGAATCTAGACGGCCAACTGTATGTTGGCTATTTTGGGTTAATTAAAGCACAGTATTTGAAGTAATTGCCCGGTTCCTTTTGCCTTTTAATTGGCTACTAGAAAAACTCGAAATTACCTGTGTGGCTCAAGTTGTACCCTGTAGGGCGGCTCTGCCCCAGCATTTCAACGGTGACATGTTTTTGCAGCAGCCCCGAATAAGGGGTATGCACGCGGGGTGGGGGACAGGCCACTGGGCCCATCCACAGGGAAGAACACTTCCCCCAGAAGTGTCACTGAGTTTGGAGCACACCTGTGCACATCCCTGTTGCATGTCTGCCTGTTGCCGGCTCTGTGTGTGTTCTGGAAGCACTGATTAGGTCCCTGCTATGTGCAGCCGGCCGCACAGGGGGCGGCAGTACTGGGATCTTCCTGGTCCCCTGCCCGTCAGCCTTAAAAGCTGGGGCCTTTTCCTGGGGAGCTGAATTGTCCCCCACCAGGGCATTTTGTGTGCTCACGAAGATGTTGGGGGTGGCCTGCTGTGTAGCCACCACCGTCCAGTGTGATCTCACACCTTGACTGGGCCCGACTGGCTCCTGGAGCTGGGCCTGTAGGGTTTTCCTTGTCCTTCCTAACACAAATGCTCACCAGCCTGTAGCACCACAAGGTGGCGCTCTCACCGCAGGAGAAAGGCCCACTCCCTGGCTGCAGGGATGCTTTGTGCTCCTTTAGGATGTCCCAGAATGCCGAGTGGATGCCGGCTGGTGGCGGGGACAGCAGGAGCACTGGTTTTCAAAGATAAGAAGCCAGGCCATTCTTATCACTCAGTGGCCTTTGTCCCTGGCACCTCGAGAGGGCCCTCCAGGGGCCAGGCCTAGAAGCATCTGTGGCCCCGAGCCTCTACCCATCTGACCTGAATAACCCCACCACAGGGAGCTGGGCTGACTGAAGCTCTTCTTCCACTGCAAAGCGCTGCTCAGGCCTCCCCACCACCTCGCTGCAGACCCCAGACCCACCGGCTTCAAACCACATTCCTGGTCCACGCAGAAAACCGTGGCAGGCCGCAGAAGCCGGCTGCAGTCATGCGTATGCCCAGACACCTGTGCCTAGCTGGGGGAGAGCTGGCTGTGACAAAGCCCTGCACCACAGGTGCGTGGGCACCCGAGCACCCAGGGCCAGGCCAGCTGCTGCAGCAGCTCCCATTCTGCCTTAGCCTGGCATGTTGTGGGAGGGGCTGCAGGGTAGCAGGGCCCAGCCACCCACAGAAGGGACCTTGTCCACTGAGCCATCAGCGGGGACCAGAGTAGCGGCAGAGGATATGTGACAGTTTGCTCACCTGCTCCTGTCCGCTTCCCCCTTCGGCTCTGGGTAACCTGTTACTGCGTCACGGTTGAGGCCAAGTGTGTGGAGCCCAGGGGAGCAAGGCGGGGAAACCCGTAGGAGGGCAAGAGGCCGGCACCACTGTAACTCTGCCTGCCCTGTACCCGCCCCCCGGCAGCAAAGACCCCCTCGCTCTCCGAGGGAGAATTTTCCAGTTCTTGTAGGGAGGGCTGTCCTGACCCTGCTGGAATGGGAGGACGTGTCAGAGCCGGGTTCGGAGACCACGCTGAGTGAGTTGGATGTGCCAAGTGAGCTCAAGGACCCCAAGGGCGCCCCGTGGCATCTCTTTCCTCCAAGAACTCACAATTCCCCGTTGCAGGCCATTTGACTAAACTTGATGAAGAGGCCAGGGAAGAGCGGGGATCGAAGGTCCGAACCCACGGCTGGAGTCACCCCAAAAGTGGCGGCAGGGGAGTTCCCGAAAGGGACTGTCCCAAACTGTCCCGAGGTGAGGCCAGTTGATTCCAAAGAAGGAAGTGCTGAATGCCAGGGTGAGCAGCCCACACAGGTCACTAGGGGAGCTTGCAGAGGGGCACAGCATGCTTCCTGAGGGCACCGCGGGCTGCAGGTACGAGTTCACGGCTTGGACGCGCTTAGCATCTTTTGTTTTTTCCCCAGGGTTTCAGGCAACAGCCTAAACAAGTTTTTCAGTGTCCGCAACAGTCAGGCCCTGGCTTGGGTTCAAGGCTGCAGGGGAAAGCATGCAGCTGGCTGGTCAGAGCAGGCAGGACAAGGGAAACGGGGGAGGGGACAGACCCTGCCAGGCTGGAGCAGAGAGCCCGGCTGAGGCACTCCACGTGGGAAGGACTGGGACAAGGCTGCCCCCGGACACGCGTGGTCCTCATAGGCTCTGCGGTCTTGCTGACGATGTCGGCACCCTGAGCCTCGGAGAAGCCAGTTCTTTAAAGTGAGGCTCTGGGGGTGGGCGTTGGGCCCGGGAACTAAGACCTGCATCCCATAATGAAGAGCCTGGGTTCCAGACCCGGCTCCAGCTTCCTGCTAATGCAGACCCTGGGAGGCAGCGCCGATGGATTAAGGTTTGTCCCTGCCACCCACATGGAAGGCCTGGCTTGTGTTCCTAGCTCACGGCTTTCGCGTAGCCCAGACGGCGCAGGCATCTGGGAAGTGAGCCAGCAGATGGGAGCTCTCTCTGTCCCCAATAAATAAGTCAGTAAAATAAACAATAAGGTCCTGGCCCAAGTGCGGCTGCAGATCCTTCCGGCTATCAGCACAAAAATATACAAGTGAAGAGTACACCTGCTAGAACCGAGGAGCTCTTGCACCAGTGGCTGCATCCAAGGGTGACAGCCTAGTGGTCAGGAGGACAGGGTCAGTGTACTTGAGCCTGAGCAGGAACTCAGTTGTGAAATCGGTAGGCAGTGCCAAGGGCAAGACCACTGGGTGTGCAGAACGTGCGGCAGTGCGCGAGAAACAGCTTCCAAGATCAGTCAGGAACCTCCCCTGGCTGTGCTTCCTGCCTGTCGGGCTGCTGGAGGTGGCTCTGCCGGGTCAGTGCAGAGGGGCTCTGGGGAGGGTGCAGCGGCTGCATGGTGCAGGGTCCTGGGGGGTGGGGGGAAGGATACCGCTTAGACCCGCCAGGCTCACCTTCCCCCGGACGGACCTGTGGTGTGTGTCCTTTCCAACCACTCCTGCCTACGGGACCCCTACACGCGGCCAAGGGCCCCCCCGGGATGTGCTAGCTGAGCAGGGCTGAGCCTTGGGACCCTGGGCCAAAACAGCCCTGCCAGCAACACCACCCAGGGAGTGCATGGTGGGCTGCGGCTTCGGGGGCGTGCCTGCTCCTGACACTTAACTCTTGTGTCTCTCCAGGGAGAAACAAACTGGCGGAACGCAGCGGCCGAGAGGGGTCCAGCCAGAGGCTGCCCCGCCAGCCCAGTGCCACCAGGCTGCCCAAGGGGGCCGGGACCGGAAAGAGCCCCACTCGGAGCAGCTCCTAGGACAGGAGCAGGGGTCGTCACGCCAGCCTGTGTGGCTCCACCACCCTCCCAGCTGAGGTTAAGTGCTGTTTTCCTTGGGTTAAAAATAGCTCAGAAGTGTGCTATCAGGGGTTTGAATCTTAGAGTGAGTTCTGTGTGCTGGTCCTAGTTAAGCTACAGCTAAACTCACGGAGTGACTTGGACCACTGACTTCACACCTCTTGGGCCTAAGAGAAAAATGCATGTACTGCCAGGCCTTCCTTTAAAAAGAAAAAAGTCTTATTTATTTACCTGAAAGGCAGAGGGAGAGATGGATCTTCAGTCCCCTGGTTCACTCCCCAGATGCCTGCAACAGCTGGGTCTGGGCCAGGCTGCAGCCGGGAACTCCAGTCCAGGTCTCCCACATGGGTGGCAGGAGCCCAAGGACTTGGGCCATCCCCTGCTGCCTTCTCAGACACATGAGCAGGGAGCTGAATGGGAGGTGGAGCAGCGGGGGCTTGAACCGGCACTCGTATGGGATGCCAGTGTTGCAGGCGGCAGCTTAACCCACTGTACAACACCCACCTGAGTCCCCGTTTTTCTCCATTTGCTTCTACTCATTAGGTAACCCCGCACTGCCACAGGCTAGGCTCTGTTCTGTCTCATCTCCAACTCTGTCCCAGGAAGCACCCTCTGAGGTGGAGGCTGTCACCACCCACATGTGAAAGCATGAGCTGAAGGCTGGGTGCTGAACCTGAGACACCCCTCCCACCCCCATACAGGTTTCCTCTGCTGTAACACCTGTCACCCCCACAGATATCCAAGGCCGTCCTCACCTCTGGGGCCTGGGGCAGGGGAACTGAGCAAATCTGTTGATGCTCATGCTGCGTGCTGGGTAATAAACTGTCCAAGAAGTCTTGTGTCTGGTGGCAACCACTGAACTGGCAGGATGCCTTCTTAGCTTCCCCGGGGATAAAAATCACAGGTCCTTCTCATGTGCTTTGTATCTTATTTGAAAGGGAGAGACAGAGCAAGATATCTTTTTTTTTTTTTAAGATTTACTTATTTATTTTAAAGCAGAGTTATTTATTTTAAAGCAGAGTTATTTATTTTAAAGCAGAGTTATTTATTTTAAAGCAGAGTTATTTATTTTAAAGCAGAGTTATTTATTTTAAAGCAGAGTTAGACAGATCTTCCACCTGCTGGTTTATTCCCCAAATGGCTGCAATAGCCAAGGCTGGGCCAGGCCAAAGCGAGATTCTTCCAGGCTCCCACGTAGGTGCAGGGGCCCAAACACTTGGACCATCTTCCGCTGCTTTCCCAGGCTCATTAGGAAGGAGCTGGATCAGAAGTGGAGCAGCCAAGGCTTCAGCCAGTGCTCTGATAATGGGATGCCAGCATTGCAAGGGGTGGCTTAACCTGCTGTACCACAATGCTCGGCAACCCCCTCCCTTTTCTTTTTTCAAAAATGTATTTGAAAGGCCAAGTAGTATGGAGAGGAAGAGAAGTCTTCCATCCTCTGGTTCATTCCGCAAACGCAGGAGTCTCATTCCCCAAACAGCCGGGGCTGGGCCAGGCCAAAGCCAGGAGCCTGGAACTCCATCCTGACTGCCATAGGTGTGGCAGGGCCCCAAATACTTGGGCCATCATCCCCTGCCTTACAAGGGACATAAGCAGGGAGCTGGGACTCAAACCAGCACTCCAGTGTGGGATACCAGGGTTGTGAGTGGCAGCTTAACCCACTGTGCCACACTGCCAGGCCTTTTATGAACAAACGTCAACACACTTCACTTGAGGTGAAAGGTGTGGCGCTCCTCCCAGACCCATTCCTGCTGCCGGGGCAGAGAGCAGGAAGGAGTGTGCCTCCTAGTCCCATGCAGCAGGAAGGTCACGGTGTGCACTGTGGCCTTTCAGAGGGTCCTGAATGCCAGAGAATTCAGTAACACCCTTCCCCCAAAGACGTCTGACCCACAGTTCAGAGAACTCCTACATCCCTAGCCGGACCTCACCGAGAACCCTCCAGTTCTTGTACTTCAGTCAACCCATCTCACCCACAGAGGCGGCCCCCATGGCGAAATCAATGGAGAAAAACTACCTCTGTGATCTGAAAGCCTGGATGTAGACTCGCCCCAGGCACCCTTGCAGGCAGAGACGGAGGACAGCCAGGTTTGCGGTTTATACAGAAACTTTAATTTTTTTTTTTTTTTTGACAGGCAGTGGACATTGAGAGATAGACAGTAGACAGTGAGAAAGCTTGGTTCACCCTCCAATGGCCATCGCGCTACGGCCAGCGCACCGCGCTGATCCGAAGGCAGGAGCCAGGAGCTTATCCTGGTCTCCCATGGGGTGCAGGGCCCAAGCACTTGGGCCATCCTCCACTGCACTCCCGGGCCACAGCAGAGAGCTGGCCTGGAAGAGGGGCAACTGGGACAGAATCTGGCACCCCGACCGGGACTAGAACCCGGTGTGCCGGCGCCGGATTAGCCGCGGCGCTGGCCAGAAACTTTAATTGTAAACCAGGGAGCAGCCAAGCTGAGATGGCTGAAGACCTCAGTACTCCTCCCCCTCCTCAGCCTCCGCCTCCACGGAGTCCACGCCCACCTCCTCGTAATCCTTCTCCAGGGCGGCCAGGTCCTCGCGGGCCTCGGAGAACTCCCCTTCCTCCATGCCTTCGCCCACGTACCAGTGCACGAAGGCCCGCTTGGCGTACATGAGGTCGAACTTGTGGTCCAGGCGGGCCCAGGCCTCGGCGATGGCCGTGGTGTTGCTCAGCATGCACACGGCCCGCTGCACCTTGGCCAGGTCGCCCCCCCCCCCCCCCCGGGCACCACGGTGGGGGGCTGGTAGTTGATGCCCACCTGCCGGAGGAGGAGGAGGAAGCATCAGTGCAGTGTCTACCAAAGCCGGAATGGCGGCTGCCTGCCCTCACAGGAGGACGGGAGGCACCCGCTGATGACCAGGGAGCCCAGCGTCCTGCGAGGCCGGGTGTGGGAGACGGTGCCCCTGCCCGTGTACTTGGAGGATCTTCCTCTCCACAGGTGGGGATGGGGTCTGCAGCTGAAGCATCCCCTCAGATGCAGCACAGCGAGGGCGCCTCCATGCTCGGGAGCTGTCGCAGTACAGCCGTCCCCAGTCACCAGTGCAGTCAGCGCTCTGACCACTGAACCGCACAGCCGAGCCCTGCCCGCCTTGCACGCGCTCAGAACCGACCCAGGCGACAGTCGGGCAAAACCAGCTCACACAAAACCCGTTTTATAACAAAGTGCTGGCGAGCTCGTGTGATTCCTGCAACCCCTGCCTCTGGAAGCCACTGGCAACACCAGACGGCCCTGCCAGCCCCGGAGATCAGAATCCAAAGTGCAGCTTCTACTTCTGCATCACAGCGAGGCTGAGGACCTGGCAGGCAGGGGCCGTCTGTCTGCAACCAGGCTCTCTCCAGGGAAGATCACACCCTGCCGATGCCCCAAACACGCCTTCACTGGCATGTGCCAAGGCGACAGGTCAACAGTCACAGGTCACATGAAGGGTGCTACTCTGGTGGCAGGAGGTGCTGTCAGTGCTGAAGTTGGGGTTGGGGAAAGACCAAGGTTCAAACCAAAGGGGAGGCATCCAGTGGGGACCGGCAGCTGCTCTGGCTGCAGGGTACAAGTCAGCAGGCCTCCTGCTCAAGGGCAAGAAGGTACAAATGCACGGCTTCCCAGGCCACACGGCCCCAGTCACCACTTCTCAGCCCTGCTGTTGTCCTGCAAGAGCTGCCGCAGACAACACCTACGTGTGCCCGCGCGGCTGTGCTCCCACAAAACCGCTGCCAGTCAGGAAGCCGGCTCACCAACCACGCGAGCCCCTGAGCTAAGGGAGCTGACCCCGGGAGGAAGAAACCCCAGAGGGGAACCCACTGCTGTGGTGGAACCAGAGCAAGGCCAAGGCCAGGCCGGCCCAGGACAGGCAGGATGCACAGGACTTGGTGACCCACAAGGGGAAAAGCTGGGAGGCGCGAGGCTTCTGCCACCCACCATCACAGGGGACAGGCCACACGTTGTACGCTTCAGGAAAACCCAGCCTAGAATTTCTAAGCTTACAAAGAGAAATAAATAAAAAATTGGCCATACCTTTATCTGACAGGTAGAGATATAGACAGTGAGACAGAAAGGTCTTCCTTCCGTTGGTTCACTCCCCAAATGGCTGCTATGGCCGGCGCTGCGCTGATCCAAAGCCAGAAGCCAGGTGTTTCTCTTGGTCTCCCATGCGAGCACAGGGCCCAAGCACTTGCGCCATCCTCCACTGCCCTCCCAGGCTACAGAAGAAAGCTGGACTGGAAGTGGAGCAACAGGCATTAGAACCCGGAGCCCAATGGGATGCCGGCACAGCAGGTGGAGGATTAACCAAGTGAGCCACTGGCACTGGCCCCAGTGTGGCCATTTGTATTGCTAATGGCTCTTAATGGTTTTTTTGTTAAACCAAACACTCCACAGGAGGGGACTTGGAAATTCTTTCTAGGACAATTAAGCGGCAGCAGGCTGTAGAAAACCTCAGAATTAAAACACACACACTCACTACACCCAACACCAAAATGCTCCTAAAAACCCTCTAAGTTTAACCTGCCTTTCCCACAGTAATGCTACCACCCAGAAAAGGACAAAATTCCTCAGAAAACAGCCTATTCTGTTACATACACACACACACTGACCACATACAGTTGTGATGATCAGAAAGTAAGACTGACAGATGTCACAGAATACATGATCATTCTGGTTCACTAACGCATGACCTGAGCCTGGCTGACACCCATGGGGTGGTCTCCCATGGGTGTGGGTGTGGGTGTGGGTGTGGGGACAGCATTCTCCCAGAGGTCTGCTGCCTGCTGACGGGGTGATACCTCCCGGCACCAGGCCTACCTTAAAGCCGGTCGGGCACCAGTCCACAAACTGGATGGTGCGCTTGGTCTTGATGGTGGCGATGGCCGCGTTGACGTCCTTCGGGACCACGTCGCCCCTGTACAGCATGCAGCAGGCCATGTACTTGCCGTGGCGAGGGTCGCACTTCACCATCTGATTGGCCGGCTCGAAGCAGGCGTTGGTGATCTCGGCCACGGACAGCTGCTCGTGGTAGGCCTTCTCCGCCGAGATGACCGGGGCGTAGGTGGCCAGCGGGAAGTGGATGCGGGGGTACGGCACCAGGTTGGTCTGGAACTCCGTCAAGTCCACGTTCAGGGCCCCGTCGAATCGCAGGGAGGCCGTGATGGACGACACGATCTGCCCGATTAGGCGGTTGAGGTTGGTGTACGTGGGACGCTCGATGTCCAGGTTGCGCCGACAGATGTCATAGATGGCTTCGTTGTCCACCATGAAGGCACAGTCGGAATGTTCCAGGGTCGTGTGGGTGGTCAGGATGGAGTTGTACGGCTCCACCACGGCCGTGGAAACCTGCGGCGCTGGGTAGATGGCAAACTCCAGCTTGGACTTCTTGCCATAGTCCACCGACAGCCGCTCCATGAGCAGAGACGCGAACCCGGAGCCGGTGCCGCCCCCAAAGCTGTGGAAGATGAGGAAGCCCTGCAGCCCCGTGCACAGGTCCGCCTGCGAGAAATCACACAGCGTGAGCTGGCCGGGCAGGCCGCGCCGCCCACCTGCCCCCAGCGGGCTCACTTCTCTCGGCCTCTGCAACTTAACACAGACTCAGCCGGCCGCGGTGAACACGTGTTAGAGCAGAAGCAAAGAAGCGCACGATAAGACCCACGCTGAGTCCCACGCGCACCCTCCGCGGAGGCCTCTGCAGACTCGGTCGGGCTCCTGATCCTGGCCTGAGTTTTGGGGAGCGACCTCCCCTGCCAACCCAAGGCTGTGCGGGACGAGGGCGCCCCCTACCAGTTTGCGGATGCGGTCCAGCACCAGGTCCACGATCTCCTTGCCGATGGTG